TACCAAACATGTTTAGCTCAGCATCAGCTATGTAATGTTAACTTAGCTTGCTACTAGCTTTGTAACTGAATATTTGAAAAGATGAGTGAATGTTTGCTTGTCACACTTGTTTGCGTTGAGTGGCGTTGACATCCAACTCTTGACATGACATAAAAAAGGTCGGTAACGTTAATCATTACGTTCCGCTGCCACCATCTACTGGCTAACGTTAAACGTAGAAAAATACAAAGTTACATACATAAATACATCTGTCGGTTTATAGGCAGGTTACAGGTTTATTGTTGACCACGTAACGTTAATGTTACAGGTTTATCAGGTTACCATTACACTGGGTTTGAGTGAGAGGATAGAGGAATATGTTTATTTATAGTAGACTTAAAAGATGTAATTAGAGACCCAGTGTAATTAAAAAATACGGTTGCAGAGGTCACATTTTAACATTTTTGTCCACTGGCCAAATGGCTAGCCTAGTGAATGTTGAAATGTTACCAGCCACTCAATAGATTGCCATTGTTATTTTTGGCTGGTGCGTGCAACATACAGTACCAGCCACTTGCATGATTTACCAGCATTTGGCTGGTAAATGGTGTTAATGGTAGATATCTCTTTTGGAACAGGTCATGTTTTAATATCACCAGTTATATTTCAGATAATATTGCAGCAATAGTTTTTTAGTTGCAAATGGCACAGAACAAATGTTTACTTTTAAGTACTTTTAACACAGTTTCCCTGCGGGGGATTAATAAAGTATTTGTGATACTGATTTCTGATTCTGAAGTGTTTTGCTTATAAGTTGTTTTCATTTAGCTAAAGTGTGATGTTTTTCCTCATATTGCATTGCAATAGCCTGTTTAAAGTGATCATATAACAAACAACTAATCAGTACTGATACTGTATGCTAATAGATATAGGAGTGATAATAATACAGTAAATGTTTTGAATTTCTTAGATATAGCTGTGCAGTATTCTTAACAGACTGGATAGCAGCAGACAATAGAAGGCTTATTACAACCAGAAGAGACTTGAGACTTGACTTGGACTCGTGACCAAAGACTTGAGACTTGATCAAGTCTCACCCCACAAAGACTTGAGACTTGACTTGGACTCGTGACCAAAGACTTGACTTGGACTTGCAAAAAAAGACTTGTGAACATCTCTGCTACACACTTTATCAAAGTGGTTGGGCTTCTTGCATTTGCTGCATTGGCGACCCTTTGCTGGACATTCCTCAGTGCGACTGTGCTCCCTCCCGCATGCTCCACATTCCTTGCTCCTCACGGCGCTGTTACGATCATTCCATGTCGTCTTGTGCCCACGGGATGCTTGGTCTGCTCTAAAAGGTTTTCTGCTAACCGCGTGAGCAGAGCGACTGTCGTGGCTAGCAGCAGGGGTTAGCATTGTCTTTAGCTGCTGCTGTGATAGCTCATGTGAACGTGCAATGTCAATGGCTTTCTCTAGCGTCAAGTCTGGACTGTGACATAGCAGTTTTTCGCGCACTCTTTGTGAGTTTGTAGCAAAGACAATCCTGTCTCTTATCATTTCCTCACTGTTTGGGTAGTTGCAGTCTTTACTTAGCAATTTTAGCTCCGTTACAAACTGGTCAAAACTCTCACTGTCCCCTTGGATCTTTTCATGAAATTTATAGCACGCAAATATGGGATTTGCTTTCGGAGTTACATAACTACATAAGCTTCAAAACCGTCATAGTACGTTTTTAGTACCTTACTTTGGTCTTCTGTGAGAGTCCATGTATAAAAAACATCTCTGCCTTTTCCCCCAATCCATAGGAGTAGATAGCTACATTTTTCCTCCTCGTCTTTAGCATGTAGCGGGCCTGAAAACATTAGCTGCACATGCTGCCGAAACTTCCTCCATGCGTCCGGCAGATTAGACGAGTCCCAGTCCATTCGTGGTGTTGGAACGCCTGTGTTCTCCATCTTCCGTCGTCAGGTCGATGATAAATGAACTAACTCTGACACCATGTAATATTCTGTTCTATGAACATGTAAGTGTTTACATAAACAGATGAAGCGGACCACTTATTTCTATCCGAGTGTCCATCTTTATTTCCACTGGCGCGTAACATGAACACATACCTTACGTCAGGGGTAGGCAAGTAAGTTTGGCCTTGGGCCAATTTTTTGCTGAGCCACAAGATGGCGGGCCAGAACATAATAAAAGCCTAATTCAAGGAATTGATTTTGGTAAGAGGGCGCAGCGCCCCTGTTCCCCGGTTCAGAAAAAACTCTGATATCGCTGATAACTCTGATGCGCAGTCAGATCCGCTGATTGGTTCACTGATGATATAGGCGCCCAATCCAGAGCCTCTGGCTAGACCCGCCCAAAGGGAGACTCGTCCTCTCTAGCCCCATTTCAGTCCCAAAGCCAGGGCTATTATCTGTATTTTAACAGACTTATCTTTTAAATTGAGGTGTATTTATTGTTCTCTTCAAAGTAAATTTTTCTCTGAAATTTTAGGGAGGATGGTCCTCCCATTCCTCAATGGACAAGCCTCCACTGAGTAAAGTAGAGTTATTAACTAGGTAGCATGTGTTATTTACAGTGTTGTGCTAGTTACTGAAAACCAGTAACTAGTTACCATTACTAGTTACTTCATGTCAAAAGTAACTCAGTTACTTTACTAGTTACTTACACCAAAAAGTAATGCGTTACTGTTACTAACGTTTTCGTTACTTACCTTTTTTTTTCTTCATTAATGCCCTTATAGCCTTCATTTCAGTACTGTTATTGCATTGGAGAATAATACAATCTGTTGATCAACTTGACATGCATTATATGCAATCTGGATTGCATCGATATTAGCTGGCTTTCCATTTTTGTATATTCTTTCTCCAGGTAGTTGGAAAAAGTTTTCCGTCCCATATGCCGTGTGCCGCCCGGACATGCTATCATGCTAACTAGCTCCCTGAAAGCGGGTGACTCCACTGTAGCAATAGCCTGCATGTGTTCTACAACATACCGTGCAATGGCTTTATCCACTTTTCCCTGGCCAGCAGTCCCTTGGTTAAAATCCAGCCGCTGTTGCTTAGGTGGAGGTGGAGTGGCGTCGGCTGAGTCTCTGTGGTCTTAGCTACTAGCTTCGTCCCAGCATGTTGTTTTTGCAGATGTTTTAAGAGATTTGAATGACTGGTTTGGGCAGTAGATAGGCTCTTTGACCCGCCAAGACACAACTTACATTTAACTAAAACGTTCTTTTCTTTGTGCTCGACAAAAGTGAAATAGTGAGAATATCTCCAGGTGGAGAAACTAGACTTGAGCTCCGCCGCCGCCATGATAGTCTTGTTAGTAAACAACACAAACACGCCCACAGCCCGTCTCCGCATGTGACACAGGAAGTATCTAAGTACATTTACTCAAGTACTTAAGTACAGTTCTCATCTCTGTTCGCCTGGCTGTTGACTATATAAAAAAACTAACGGAGTAACGCATCATGTAGTAACGGTAACTGCTTTACTGAATTTAAAAAGTAATGCGTTAGCGTACTAGTTACTGCCAAAAGTAACGCGTTACTCGTAGCGCGTTAGTCCCAACACTGGTTATTTAACATATTTTTATTCTGATAAGTATTGTCAAGTTCTCTGGGTTTTGGGCATTTATTCGAGTGTTTGCCCACATTTGAGAGGCTTGAGGGGCAACAGAGGACGCATGGACAACTGGAATCCTTTTTCCTTTTCTTTATTTCAACTTTTCAAGGACACATTTGGATTCTTTCAGGTTGAAAACCTTTAAAAAATACAAAATAAATGAATTACAGCATGTTTTGCTTTGCAATTTATTTAATATATTATAACCTAAATTAATCAGTAACCAAGTATTTTACTCAAACTCAATGTATTTAATAGTTAAATAAGTACTTTAATTTACCTGGTTCCCCACAACCACACATTTGCCATATATGACCCGCTCTATCGAAATCAGTCGAAAGTCGCAACGGCTCATTTCAAAATAAACGTGGATTTGCGTAAAAAACTAGTTTTTCAGGGTTCGGGTGTTTTGTTTGATTTTAAATAAACAAAGTCATGGCTTTCAGAATATGGAACTTTTATTTCCAAAATCACACGATAAATACATGTTTGAAGCTTGTAAAGGGAAGATGACAGCTCTCCCTCGCCACTCTGCTCTTCCACAGCGCCGCTTCCCCTCCCTCCGCTGACATTATGAATGTAAGCGGATATGTCGGGACAGAATTTATTTTACCGGACAAATTTGAAACTTACCGGTCATGTTTCAATAATAATAATAAGAATGGTGTAGCAAAGTTTCCGTTAGCAGGTAATCACCGGACTATGACAGGATATGCTGATGGTTAAAACTCAGTTAATGGGAGTCATTTTTATATTGCTTCAGTTTATAATCGTTACAGATCGAAAAGTTCAGATTCATTTTTCAATAAATGATTCCACAAACAACAAACAACATAATTATTACATTCAAACAAACTACTTGTAGTAGATGAAGTAAATTATTCAAAAGTTTACATTAACTTTGGATAATAACACGGGAGAAACGGATCCTCTCTTTTCCCCTCTCCCTCTCCTGACAGCCCGTCAGTTTCTCATGCAGCGCGCTATACAGTGGGCGGGGATTCAGGTGATTATGCAGCAGCTGATCTGATCTATCTCTCGGGCCCGTCCACACAGCGGCGTGCGTTGAAGCTTCCAACGCTTCTGCCCATTCACTTTGAATGGGGTGACGTCACTTTTAGCCGAAATGCATTTTGGGAAGCGACGTGGAGCGTTGCTGGCGTAGCTGGCGTCAAAAGTTGAGCAATGTTCAACTTTTGACGCCTCGACGGAGGCGTCAGCCAATGAAATCCCGTTTATTCAAATCTGCCAGTACAATCGCATAGCCAATCAAACCGCGTGTATGCTGGGAGAGACTACGCAGGTCATTTCCTCATATTCAAAAAAATTGAGGGGAAATTCATTGTAGCGGTAGTGAATCACCCGGTGCTGTATGATCAGTCTTTGTTCATCTACTGGGATACAAACCGGAGGAGCGAGGCATGGAGGGAGGAGGCAGAGACAGTGGGTGAAACTGGTAGGTTTTCGCCTGTTTGGGGATTTTATATCCAGTTTACTTCGTTTTAACATTGCTATTGCTTTGTATGTCGGGGGCGGGAGATTCATGTGATTGGTTGTTGGTCGTGTTGTTGGCCTTTATAGAGAGCACTGATCAAACTATTAAGAGTGAATATCGGCCGATAATGACCGGCGGCCGATCGATCGGAGCATCCCTAATTATTACCAGACATTTTGACCAGCAGGTTTTGAATTTACCGGGTTTTAATGAATTTTACCAGATAAAAACCGGTATTACCGGCTAATGGAAACCCTGATGTGCGACTCTCGGTCCTATGTTGTTAAAAAAATAAATTAAAAAAAATCTCAAAATAATATTTTATTTTTGATTCTCAAAATTACGGGCCAAATATTATTGCTGGCGGGCCAACAATGCCCCGCGGGCCGCCTGTTGCCGACCCATGCCTTATGTCATCCACGTGATCTCTGTAATCAAAGATCTTGTATTCACCAATATGTTACATATGGATCTCTGGATCTGCTATGATATTACGGTTAGTCCCCACGAGTATGCAGGAAGTTTCACTGATCCGCGTCCCCTGAGCCAAACGATAACTTCTGGAAGCTATCCTACTTGCTAAAGGGTAGGCAGATGGACTGTGGTACGTTGTAATGTTATTTTACATGTTATAAGGAGAGTAGCGAGTGACGCAATTTATAGTTTTAATGTGTACGTCACACAAGGTGTAGGACTCAAAGGACTCAAAGGGTTAATGGAGAGGGGAGACTCGTCACGACCAGCTCATTTCTAGGATCCGGGTTAATGATCCGGATGAATCAGGACTCGCCCATCTCAAAGCAAGCGTCGCTCCGCCAAAGAAAGGTAACGTGGAGAGGCATTATCGGAGTGTTCACAACTTCACAAGGCATATGACAGCGACTTCCCTCCGAGTAGCGAGTTGAGAAAGGTCATGTATTATTGCTACAGAAACATTATCTCGCAGTCTTAGTGTCGCCAACTCGTTTCTAACATGCAAAAAGACACACAAATTAGTCTATGGTCGGTGTATTTTCGACCTGTATCTCTCTCCCCTGTCTGTGTGCTAGGGGGGCGGGGCAGTTTACACACACTCGGCTGCTACATGCAGCAACACACGGCGGAGAGAAGCGCTCCAAGGTGTGGTTAAATGTTACCCGTCTTGAGGTGGACAATGCTCGTTGCCAAGAGTGTTTAGCATGTAAGGGCGGTAACACGAGCAATTTGTCTAAACATTTAGCAAAAGTGCACCACATTCAGACGGAGGAATGCACCGGGTTCGACTGTCTTTCTAGCAGCTCTGTAGCCCCATCCACGAATAACTTGTCCACGTCAGGTGTTATGTATGCTAGCAGCAACACACGGAGTTAACTACATTATACAAACATGGGTTAATGATTAGAGGTAACAGAGTTACTCTTTATTTTGTTAAAGTTTCAGCTATTCTGTTTACAGTTCTGTCATCAGATTATTTAATACGATTTGTTAAAACATTGTTTCTTTTGATGTGAAATATTATTTATTTAATTTTAAATAAAAAGCAATGCTAATTTTGTTCACAATTTGTTAATTTAATAATATATGTATTTTTAAATCAAGTATTCATCTTTATTGTCTTCATTGTTAGTTTCCACATGCCTAAAACAACCTCAAGCTAAATCTAAAAGTTGATGGCTAAATAAGAGCGTTTGAGAAATTGTGCAAGGCATACAGTAATAGTCCGAATAGTCGATTAATCGTTTCATTAATCAATAGATTAATCGATTATCAAATTAGTCGTTTGTTGCAGCCCTTTTGTAGTTATCCCATGTATAAATAAAACGTGTTATTCAGCAACCCTTGCAATTTGGGATTTTATTTTTGGTTGGTAGACCTCGGTGAGCTGGTCATTTCAAAAGTAGCTCACCAGCCAAAAAAGTGTGGGCACCCCTGCTCTAAACCATAAGTGTCTACCTCATGGTGGTGTTAGAGGAAAATACTGTGTGTAAACAAAAACATTAGGCAAGGCAAGACACATTTATTTATATAGCATATTTTAACACAAGGCAATTCAAAGTTATTTCCAAAAAGTATTAAAGACAGTAAGAATATATTGAAATACATTTAAAGACAGTCAATAAAAGCCAATAAAAATACTGAAAGAAAATGTACAGTGCAGTGCAACATATAAATCATTATTTGATTTAATAAAAGGCTGCAACAAACAAAAACAGTGAGATGTGCATTTTTCTAGGAGTTTGTTCCAGATATATTGAGCATATTAACTAAACGTTGCTTCTCCATGTAAGTTCGACCCTTGGGACATTTGGATTCATCCTCTGAGGACCATGAGTGTGTACACAACTTGTCATGTTAATCCATGAAACGGTTCAGGCTGAGTCGAGCCATGCTGTGTGGATGTGCCCTGAGCTGAGAACACCACTCTGTGAGCCAGGCACCCAAGGAGGATGTTCTCAAGTGGAGAAATCTAATCTTTCCCAGCAGGAATCCAAGCGGCTCTGTAAGTGTATGAATAGAGATAATATCTCTATAATGAGGCCTGTTTTGTACCATCAAAGTCTTCAAAAGGGTCTGAAACCCGACCTCCCTCCTAGCACTGACAATCCCTCAGTAATAGCTCCCTATTATTAATTGTTATGCCTGCCTGCTAAGTCCTTGTCTCTCTCTTTCTCCCTTTTGCTCTTGTTGTTGTCTTTTAGCTCACCCATGACCTCGTGCTTTTAGTACTGACATGCTGCCCGTTTGTAACTCAGTGGTATGGAAGGTGTGTGTTTTTAACATAAAACTGTTCCCAGACTATAATTTACTTTCTTTAAGCTAAACTGCAAGGAGGTAAAACACTCACATAAGGACATGATCTCACACATATTATTCACGGCAGTAAATTCTTATAATTTCAGCTGTTTTGCAATTCATCCTTTCAGCATGTCCAACACTGCCTGTGTTGTCGTGTCAGAGCCAACACAGGTGTGCTTGGTATCGCTGCGCTGTCTGATGTGGTTGACATGCGGACATGGTTAAAGGAACTGACCAGACCACCAGAACGGACATGGTCTTTTGCATATCCTGCTTAATGGCCATTGTCTATTGTCAGTGGCTTTATGATATGTGGGTCGTCTATCTGATGCTGCGAAGAGTTCTGAGAGATCCAGCCTCCCGGTTCTTCAGAGGACGGCGAGCAGAGATCCAACTAACCGATAGTGTTGATGATAATAAATGTGACTTGTCAGGAGCGATTTAACATTTAACTGCTAATCTGATGCATCAGAACTTAAAAGAGGACACGGACATGAAGTAAAAATAGATTTGATTTCCATAGAGAAACAAACAAGGGCAGAGGCAACCATACAAGAATCCACCTGTTCATCAGGATTGATACACTTTTACACACTCACACAATGTTGGCCATGCCCTTGGGAGCAATATGGGTTTCAGTATCTTGCCTAAACATGTTTTTAATGCAGGGCTGGAGATCGAACCACCAATGCTTCTATCCAACGTTGAGCAATCTACCACCTAAACCATAGCCAACAGAGAACAGGATGCCAGTGGTGAGGATTGAAAAAACCACTTTAAATATCTCTGGTGATGACTCAGCATTTGTTCCCTCTTCTAATACATGCAGTAGATTTGTCTGAATGTTGAAGTTGACCCATCATCATTTAAGTCTCAAAGTGTAGATGATCTTTTCAAATTATTCTATTAAGATGCACTTGTTAATAGTTGCATGACACATCTAAGGACATTTGAACTGACTCACTAATTGAAAACATCTTTAAAAGAGCTGTGAGTCACATCAGTCCAGGAAAGGTTTATGCAGAAGCCTGAAGGATCATTTTGGTGTCTGTGTCTCTGTAATGGACAGTAATGGACACAAAGTGTGTGATGAGTAATATTTCTAATTTAATGTTCGTGCCAGTACTCAGCAAGTTTACAGTAGGCTGTAAAAAATAGCTAATGTACTGCAAAAAGTTTGATAACGTTTTCAAATCAAGCTTTAAAAAACGACTTCTCAGATGTTACTTATGTAGAGTTTCATGTGGGGAGTTACTTAAAAAGCATTTTCTTTCCCGCAGGTCACTAATTCCATTTGACACACACACACACACACACACACACACACACACACACACACACACATGCAAATACACACGCAAACACACACGCAAACACATGCCAAAAGCATTTACCAACACAAGCATCTCAAAGAGAAGTATCTCCATCAAAAACAGCCCTCTCTCCATCTGTTAAACAAATAGGGAGCCTCTACAAAGGTGTGCAAAAGAATCCACATGATCAAAGTGTATGAGAATGGCAGCCTTGTCCTGGCCTGGCCATTATCAGGCCCCATGAATGCCTGTCTTCTCCTCTTTTGTCGGTCGAGGCATTGACAGTCACTCACCCGGCAATGACTGTCACACCAGCGCAAAGAGCCAGCCGCCGACAGGGGCCAACCACATCAAACGAGGCTGTCAAGGGGCCCTGCTCGTGAACCGTGGCAACAAACACCTCCTGATCCTCACCTACAGCTCAGCAGCAGACACCCACCGCTGTGCTCTCAGCCACTGCCTCCACTGAGAAAAGATGTACTGCCTGGACCTAATTTCCCTCTCTGTTGCCCCCCCCCCCCCCCCGCCCCCCAATTCTCTCTCACTGTCAAGTAGTGCTTGTGTTAACCTCCAGCCTGCCGAGACACAAAGGCCCGCTAAAGTGTTTAAGAATGCTTTATGGATGCATGACAAGGGGAGGCTGACACTGCTGGGGGTCAGAAAGTACACAGGATGTGAATGAGATACATTCAGTTTTACTTACGATTTGGAGCTGAGTCACACTTGATTGAACTGTATGATGTTTGAAATTCAAAAGCTGATTGGAAGAAGAATATATTTTTTTTAAGTAACTAAAATGTAGCCTACTTTGGTCAAGTCATTATAAGGGCAGGTTGCATGTGTATACTACCAGTTTTGGATTACCTAATGGAAATGAAGTTTACTTAACTTGTGTTGCTTTCCCCTTAATTAATGAGAAGTTTACATAGATTGCCGCAAAACAGCTCTGTGAAAACATACTATACACAAACACAAAGATTGTTGTGGTTTTCTCAAGTGTCAATTTACTCTATCATTCAAATTAAAGGTATTTTGCATTTTTTTCATAAATTTGCTGCTGTATTTTCCATATATAAATCTACAAAAGAAAACTCTGCACAGGAAATAAATGTTATGGCTGAACTTTTATTTTCAATCTATTTTGTACTACAATTTACTGGTGTTTAGAGCATGGTCATAACTTTTCCATTCTAAAATGAACTATATAGCAATGACACTAAAGCTGAATTCAAAACAGTCATTTTCACCTTGGCCTCCAGTTTGACCCCTAGTCCTACTTTAACTTTACTATGATAAGACTGCCACCTGTAGGCCAAAAATGATTCATTATCCATTTCAGACTACCCTGATCATAAAATACAGAATATAAAGATACGATTTTTTTAGATTCAACTTTTGAACATGAATACAACGAAATGCAGTTTGCATTCAACTAGAAAGTGCAAAGAGTAGTAAAGTACCATAATAAAAATCAGATCAATGTATATAAATGTCTAAATATGAATACATTTCTTTTGATAAGATGCCGATGTGGAGCATATGCACGTAAAGTGCTGGATTTAGGAATATGATAAATACAATCTTAATGAATATTAAATACAGACATTATTATGTGTTATATTATATGTACATATTTAACAATGTTACTGCCATCAGTAAGTGAGAGTATTTCAAGTGAGAACGTCTACAAGAAGCTGGTCTTGAAAACTTAAACCAATAATTAGCACAGATTACCAAAAAACGCAATACTCGATTTATCTGCGATCCACTCAACATGCCTTACACGAGCATGATGATCGTTCCTCGCGACTAGCTTGGTCTTATTTAAGATGGCAGCCCTGTGTTGAGAAGTAACGCGGTTATTACATGTCAACATGTCACTCCTCAGACTGTGTGCCTTTGCCAAATGTCTGAATCGTCGCAGTTTATTTGAACAATGTGCAGTTCGCCTGTCTCGTGCGGACCGCTGTGTGCTGTGTGTGTCGCTAAGAGACGGGGCAGTCAGACGAATATCAGGTGAGTCTGTCCTACAGTCACAGTTAATGATGCACCAAGTTTACCCAGTTTCTTCGAGCACTATGTTAAAGTCAAGGGTATATTCAACAGTTAGGTTTAATGTTGGACGAGAACAGCACATGGAATATGTTGAATGAATATATCGTTATTGAGTCTAGTGTGAGGATGCTTTGTTTGTGGACACATGCTTAACGGCGTCTCTGTGGTAAACTTTTCAGAAACGTCTGTTTTACAGTCAATGCTCCGGGGAAATAACCGGGTTATGTAACTCTTTATTATTGCTTAGTTAACAATTATTATAAACTCAATGGGAACACCTTAAGAAAAACCTTTAAGAACAACTCTATTATGAAGCTTATATCACTACTCTATAACATTAGGCTATTATTATAATAAATATATTACAATTTATAAACCTGAATCAATGTTTAAATTAATATTACCTTAATATTAACAATATGTATTCTTTGTTAAATTGGAAAATTAATCAAACGTTATCATAGTATGTTCATCATTTTAGAGCATTGGGCTTTCCTTGAGCCTCTGATCCTCCTTTTGTGTTAGTGAAGGAAAACATCAAGCAAAATAAGATGACAATAAAAAGCTATTGTTTTTTACTGCAATAAGTAAACAGCATGCCATATCACTATGGTTTCAGTTGTTTCTGCATATTGTCGATGATCATTATTAATATTATTATCTTTAATTATTTTTCTTTTTTTTCAGAGACACCATGGCAACTTCAAAGAAAAAATATTTCCTTTGTCCCAAAGAGAGAAGATGCAAAGAAACATGAACTGAAACAGTCTCTGTTACATGGTATGTTAATGTAGACCACATGTGGCATGCTTATGCATCTTTGACCCCCAAACTCACCATGTTATATGTTATCAATAAATGCTTTTTAATACCAGATACTGGTTTGTAAGAGTTGTTACTTGTTTTCTGTATGCAGCTTAAACTGCATTTGCTTACCATTTTATCAAAGACTTCTGGATTTGAATTCACTTAATCAGCAGTTAAAGCCTGTCGTTATTTCTGTGTTCCACTCTTTTACTCCCAAACAATTGCAATTACAAAATATGACTTTTTTATTTCATTCTCTCTCAGTGCTTGAAGCAAGGATCCAACAACTCCAATCCGACACAGTTTTAGATGTCCAGCATACGAAGGTGCATTTTCTTAAAGACCCGTCTTCTGGAAATAAGGTCTTATCTGATATAGCTCCCAAAAGCACACCCAAGAAAGAAAACGTCATTCCTAAATCAGAACAGACTGGTGCTGAAGAGGCTTCTAAATCTAAGCCAAGGAGATGGATGGAAAAATTAAAGCAGGAGGAGAAGAAAAAATTGCAATATTTAAAGAAAGAGACAGTACAATCTAAAGGAAGTAACAGCAGCTCATCACTCCCTAGTACATCACTGAAAACTATATCTACTGCTGCTGGTGCTGCTGCGGGGACAGCTGAAAATCCGACACCACAGCAGACTGTTGCTGATGCTAAGGTCAGCTCTAAAACTGAACTGGTGGAGATAAAACAGATGGAGAGGCTCAGTCAACTAATAAGCCAGTTGAGGTATTCGAGTAACCTCAAGGTCCTGCAGTGTGACAGTGAGGCTGAATGCGGGGACCTCTACAAGAGAATCTGCTCTTACCTGGAGGCGTGTGTGTTTTCTCAAGACATTCAGAGGGCGCAGCGATTCCTGGTCAACCAGCACAAGAAAAGAAAAAGAGTTATGAACACGAATGTCTACAACATCATGATAAGGGTGTTGGCAAAGCACGTGAGTTCAACAACTTAGATACTAAAACTGAGAGGGTTTGGAGAAGTTGTGGGTCCTTTGAAATGTTTTTACACTAAGATATATCAGGCTAAATGGTTTAACAGATTTAACTTATAGCAAACCTCATCAGGATTTGTTACTTGTGAAGATAATGTACAATACTCTGGTTCTCTATTAGTTGTCAGTCTTTCTATCGCGTTTTATACAATAATCTTATACCTTGATACCTATTTAGTACGTTTTTTAGATTAAATGTCAAATATTTCCTTGGTGTCAATAAAAAAATGATTTGACTAAACATTAGTATAAAGTGCACATGGTGGCAACGTTTAATTCTTCCATGTCTCTCTCTCTCTCTCTCTGTTTATTTGTAGAACAATTTGAATCAGATTGGCCGCATATTTATTATGTTAGAAGAAGCTAATCTGAAGCCAAACCTGGGATCCTACTGTAGTGTCTTGGAGTGTATGGGACGCAAACCCAACTGCCCCCCAAATGTTGTCATAAGGTATGTTCACACAAAAACACACATGACATCAATAAACAGGACTCAATAACAGCTGTGTTTGAGACTCACCTAATGTATACCTTGTGTTTATTTGCCCCCAAATGGTGTCAAATACAAACAAGCAAGAGTGTTTCCCCCCCTATACCAGAATGATAATAGTGGAGTCACGCTTTGTTATAGTGCTGTGGATGGAGGTCTGTCTGTTCCAGATCATGTTTGTGATAACAAGCCATTTCAAGTTTACACATGTTTTTCTGTATAATTTGATATTTAACTTTTGAGTGCTATTACTGTAAAGCCTCGGGACAGATTTAAGTTTAAAGGAGAGCAGTAGTAATACAAAGACTTACCAGCAGGGGTCATGTTGTGCTCATTGCTTGCACTTCTGCACTCCTTTCTGAGTTATAGCATATTATTTATTTAATATCGTAGCCATGATTGTCACTTTTGATGAGGGTGTAAATCTAAGAAAATGTCACATGTTGCATTCTTTGGATATTGTTGGTTTAGTTAAAGGCTGCAGAATAATAGTGTTGGCTGGATGGTGGTTACTTTGGTCACATGGCGATAAAGAAGCAGCATCACCTCATGAGGATCAACAGTAGTAAGGCTTTTACAGTAGCTGTGCAACTAAAATGTTTGCAAAGATTTCCTATTTGTGTGCATTCATTGTTTTCTTTTGTAAGATTTCAAGTCTGAGATTCTCTCTTTATTCTAAAAACTTGTTTCTGCCACATAGTGATTTCAATGGAGATGGTCAGGGTTTCCCTTTGCCATTATGGTCTAGTTTTAAGTTGTCTTGTTTATAAATTGTAAATCAAAGCTGCTTTCAAACCCAGAAATACAGACACTAGCAGAGTCAGCACAGGTATACGTCATAAATCCATCCATCCATCTTCTCCCGCTTATCCGTGGTCGGGTCGCGGGGGTAGCAGTTCCAGCAGAGAGCCCCAAACTTTCTTTTCCCTGGCGACATCAACCAGCTCTGACTGGGGGATCCCAAGGCGCTCCCAGGCCAGCGAAGAGATATAATCCCTCCACCTGGTCCTAGGTCTACCCCTTGGTCTCTTCCCAGCTGGACGTGCCTGGAACACCTCCCTAGGGAGGCGCCCAGGTGGCATCCTAACTAGGTGCCCGAACCACCTCAACTGGCTCCTTTCGACGCGAAGGAGGAGCGGCTCAACTCCGAGTCCCTCCCTGATGACCGAACTTCTCACCTTATCCCTAAGGGAGACACCAGCCACCCTGCGGAGAAAACCCATCTCGGCCGCTTGTATCCGCGATCTCGTTCTTCGGTCATGACCCATCCTTCATGACCATAGGTGAGGGTAGGAACGAAAATGGCCCGGTAGACAGAGAGCTTTGCCTTCTGGCTCAGCTCCCTTTTCGTCACAACGGTGCGGTAAAGCGACTGCAGTACCGCTCCCGCTGCTCCGATTCTCCGGCCCATCTCACGCTCCATTGTTCCCTCACTCGAGAACAAGACCCCGAGATACTTGAACTCCTTCACTTGGGGTAAGGACTCATTCCCTACTTGAAGTGGACAGTCCATCGGTTTCCTGCTGAGAACCATGGCCTCAGATTTGGAGGTGCTGATCCTCATCCCAGCCGCTTCACACTCGGTTGCAAACCGATCCAGTGAGTGCTGAAGGTCGCAGACCGATGAAGCCATTAGAACCACATCATCTGCAAAAAAGCAGTGGTGCAATCCTTAGTCCACCGAACTGCAGACCCCCTCCCCCACGACTACGCCTCGAAATCCGATCCATGTATATTACAAACAGGATTGGTGACAAAGCGCAGCCCTGGCGGAGGCCAACCCTCACTGGAAATGTGTCCGACTTACTGCCGAGGACCCGGACACAGCTCTCGCTTTGGGAGTACAGAGATTGGATGGCCCTGAGTAGAGACCCCCTCACCCCATACTCCCGCAGCACCTCCCACAGTAACTCCCTGGGAACTCGGTCATACGCCTTCTCCAAGTCTACAAAACACATGTAGACCGGATAAGCGTACTCCCAGGCCCCCTCCAGGATCCTTGCGAGAGTAAAAAGCTGATCCGTTCCACAACCAGGACGGAATCCGCATTGTTCCTCCTCAATCTGAGGTTTGACAATCGGCCTGACCCTCCTTTCGAGTACCTTAGAGTAAACTCTCCCGGGGAGGCTGAGTAGTGTGATGCCTCTGTAATTGGCACACACCCTCTGATCCCCCTTTTTAAAAAGGGGAACCACCACCCCGGTCTGCCACTCCTTCGGTACTGTTTCCGACTTCCACGCAACGTTGATGAGACGTGTCAACCATGACAGTCCCTCAACACCCAGAGCCTTCAGCATTTCCGGGCGGATCTCATCCACGTCATCCTACGTCATAAATGTCCATGTCAAATACAGCTATTGTCTCAAGGGCTTCGCTTCAAAGGGTCAGCTGCGACCGGGTCGGTGTTATAATTTCAACTTTGAACGCAGCATTCAGTGGCAATTTCCTGTCAACACAGAGCTGTTATACTGCTGATCATGTTTGGACAGCTGTGTTTTGAATGGCAAACCTGATCATTGTTCAGTGTCTATCCTGTAGTCTACTGACAGAATCAATTGTTCCTAACTCTTAGCTCCTCGTTTGCTGTTCCTTTCCCTCATCGCTGATATCGTTTCCATGGCAACACTGCATCTTACGGATGTTTCTTCAATTTCTTTTTGGCAATTTGCAGAGGTTTCTGTAATAATTATTGTAGCTTTTCACCAAGCTTCTTAGAAAATAAGTTTTAATGTTGGCAGCAGCATGCTGACATAGTCTTAATGAGGTTGGAACAGACTAATTAAATAGTTTGAAGATAACTCTGTTCTATTTATTTTTTGCTCACACCACAAGTTTAAGCAACTTTGTATCAAGCCTTGACAGCCAGTAGTCCAGTTGTGTCTCGGCGGTAACTAGGTCATCCTGACAAATCACAGTTAAGTAATATTAATCAAGTTTTGATGTCACTGACTGTGTGTCACACTTTGGATTTATTGCTGGAAATGTAACACATACAGTATAACCCTATGGGCACAGCTCAAAGCCTCAACACTCAGTCACAGTGTGTGTGCTTGTTTGATGGCAGCCAATACAATCAGCTGGCCTGCAGCCCAGGCAGGGCTTAACCTGAGTCAGGAGTTATTATTATAGCAGGACAATTCCAGGGCACAAACTGTATTTATTTCATTTCCCCTCATGCATGTTGATATATAGACACTGTTGAACAATGGACCCTTTTGGAAATGGCATGTCCTATTTCAGTCTCCTCCTTCCCAGTCTGCATTTTAAAAATACATCATAAAATGGAGACAGGGCTATCGTACTTCAAAAGCTTTAACTTTCACGTATCAATCTCTGCAATGCCTCCAAAGATCCATTACTGGTTCTTATATTTACTTTTTAAATCGCTGACAGTGGTGAAAAATATCAGGACCTGTAGGGTAAATTAAGTTGGAACGACTGTTTACCATTATTAGTTATTGATTTTTATGGTGATGTTGAAGACAACTTCCTCGTGGTAGATGTTTTATTAGATATTCTGCGTGAATGCAATATAAGTTTAGATCTTTTTAATTTATGACCATCTATTTTGTAAAGGGAGTGCACATTTAGCCCACACAGCCTTCAGCCTTCTCAAGGTCTGACCTTCATATGTTGTGTGAGGAAGGCACTTTGTAATCTGGGCCACAGCTATGTAGCTTCTAATCCCACTATGCTAAATAACCTGAGAAGTGATGGAATATTATCTCTCCCGCATTTCAGTGCTGGCTTGATTAGCTGTTTGAGAGCTTCACCCTTCTCAGTTGGGTCAAGTGCTGTTGCAATATTACACAAACACACACACACCGTGACGCACACACACCCCCTGGACCCTGGAGACATCACCCTATGCAGCGTGGTCCAATAGCAAGACAGGTGGTGGTGGCAGGGCAGTAGGATTGTGGGTAGGTATCAGGTTAGTCTATCGATCAGTGTAAGCTGATGCTTGTATGACATTGTTCTGCAGCAGTTGCTTTCTCTTACAATCCTCACTATCATCATTTTCTTTGTCACTCACTGTGTTTGTATCCTGCCTCTTCTTTACTTTACTGTGTTGTCTCCCCATTTCATATGCTGTACTCTCCTAATATCACTCTCGCCCGTGAAGTCCCCCCTGCAGCATCCTTACCCTCAGTGCACCCATCTGTTCCCCTCTCCTCTGTCTCTCACACACTTATCTCTTAAAGTTGTTCCCGTCTGTAAGTGCTGTGTCCTCCAGAGTTCTTTGCTCCCTGGGGTGAAGTAGAGCAGTCACTAGGCTGATTATGCTCTATCTTTCAACCCCTCTGCTCTCTTTGTTCCTCCGGACCACGGTGCCAGCACCCAGACTAATCCTCTCTGTGTGCGAGGCTCTCTCATTTACTCAGACCAAAATGGCACATTGCATCACGAGAGACTCCGAGGCACAAGTGAGAATACAAAAAAAATGTGACCTCTTCAGCTTCCTTTTAGAAATATAACATACACTTCAAACAGCAGACATATGACTGACTATTATCACACATTTCTTTTTTATGTATTTATTCATGTGGAGAAACCATCTCATTTTGCTGATAAGATGCAGTTTTAGGAAATTGCTGATGCAAGTTTCCCCTAGATGGTAATCAGCATGCTGTTATTTATAATTGTTTTTAGAAGGTGTGCAGGTGAAGCAGAGTGCTCTCATCCTCTGAGGGGATGAAACATGGGTTTTCCTCACTGGAGTCTCTAGGCTCGGTCACGTAGTTCATTTGTTAACCTCTAGGGAGCAGTGCAACCAAACACGGTGTAAAAGCTGCTCAATCATGGTTTGGCAGCGGCTCTTTACCTCAAAGTGTGCATGGCACTAACAAGGTGTTATCCCTGTAGACATATGACAGAGGTTCTTGCACATAAATGAAATAGTGTACACTGTAGGTAGTACAAATTGCATATACAGTATAACCTGGATGCCATTCAGTCATTTTAAACAAATATTGCATTGGCCCAATTATTAACTTTATATACCAACAATTAGGACTGCACAATTAGTCAACATGTTATCAAAGTCACAATATTTGGTGAAACTATCAAAAAAAAGAGTCTACTAATGGTATTTTATAGACTTAATGACAAACCCTTCTTTGGTATGGATCAGTTTAAAATAATCACTGTTATCATTTTAATCTATTTTGCCATTTGCCATATTGATTAAAATTATTATAATAGATATAATTCATTAAGTTATAATGAAATGTATCATGCAGCCCTAACACAAATCATAAATAATTGACCAACACAAACTATATATCACTTCAGCCCCTGATTCCTGCTAATCACAGAATAATACAAATCCACCGGGCTGGATTCATTAATTCACAGGTTTTCTGAGGCAACGTATCAAACCGAGCTATGAAATAATCATGTTATTGCACCTCTCATCTGTATTCCAGAGACTGGTTGCACAATGGTATTATTTGCATTCTGCAGTCCTGTCATGGAGACTGTTCCCTCTCTAGGAGATCTCTAATAGGTTATATTTAAATATACATTTCATAGATGTCGTCAGTGCCCATCTGCCCCTAGATCAGTCTCATACTTTGACTCTGACAGAAAGGCCCATCAATGCAAATAGATACATTTATATTCTGTAACTGTAGATCAGGGTAGGCGAGACATATACAATGATCCAACAGAGGAGGGAGGTTTTTAAAAGATGAATTAATCTGGAGCTGGCAAATTATAGAATTATTTTAGTCCAAGTCCCACATCAACAGGCAGGTCAAAGGGTTGTGCCCTCTTAACTTGTGATCAGACTCCAAAATCTGTTCCATCATAATAACCATAATCTCCCACGTAAATGAAAATCTACTTCGTGATCTGATGTGCTCATTCTCTGGCTACCTTTACTGAACAATTCTCGTTGTCTGCAGGTTAAGCTTTTTTAATCTGATCTTGTATACAGGCAAGATGTGGCTTGAGATATGGCTTTTAGTCTCTGGTTGGCAAAATATTAAACAAATTGTGTGGACTGTAACGTGCACACAAAAAGACTGTGCTGCTGGTAAGAAGAGCCAACAAGTCAAGGAGTCCTGCAGCTACACATTGGTGCACTTCTCTGTTCCCTTATGGCAGTGGTTCTCAAAGTGGCCAAAATCATATTTTTTTAAATTATTGATTCGAAAATAATATGATACAGTACTATTACGTCTGGGTCTCTGTGTTTCATTAAAGCTCGGCTCTGTGTGTGTGTGTGTGTGGAACGAGCCATTTTGTGTGCGTGCGCGAGCGAGAGAGAGAGAGAGAGCGCACCGGTACCGGAGATCGTTGATGTTAGCTTCTGGTGCTAGCGAGCTACGCTAACGGATATAAGGAGTTTTTTCAACAACAAAGTGGAGGAGAGTCCTCTCCTGTCAGACTGAGAGGCTCAGTGAGCTAAAGGACTCTCTGTGTTATCTCAGTGGGTCTCAATCGTTTTGGTCACCATTAATGTAAACAATTATTTCCGAGCCACACGTTTATATGATCATTATAGTTATAAAAAAATAAGAGAATAAATTAAAAACAGGTATGAAATACTATATGACATTAAAAAATGAATAAAGTTTAAAAGGGGAGTGATTTGTAAAATATCCATAAAGAAATAGTAAATCTGTTTACAGTTCTGTTTCATATGGGTGTTGAGAGATGTCCATAGATCTCTTCATTTTGCTCTCAAAGTGCACCAGATTGATGCTTTTAACTTCAATATTTAAAAATCTTCCCGGGGGAGCTTGACCCCGGACCCCCCTATGTGAGGTCCACACACCACCTATAAAAATAGCACTTTACCCCTGCTTACAGCCGTGAGCTGATTATCGAGCCTTCATTGTAACTGTCACACTGTGTGTTTGCGTGGGGATTGTTGCAGTAGAACATTCCACTGTAGCGCCCGGTATATTAATGGGAAACCCTAAATGTTTGAGCACCCTCTATGAAACGTCAAGCTACCCCACAGCACCCCCAAAATAAATCTCTGGCGCCGCCACTGAGCCTGACTATTTGTTTTGGGGGGGGGGGGGGACCCAACTTTTTTTTTTCTCCAAAGGGGGGGCCTGACAGAAAAAGTTTGAGAACCACTGCCTTATGGTCAGGAAAGAAATGCAAATAGTTTACTGTTTGTGCTTTGTTTTATCCTTTGCATCCATCGCATAGCACAATAATATTCTGTGGTTTACAGAATAATCAGGTGATGTCTAATTTGTTTACTACTATTATTGAGTGTGCTATTGGCCATTCTTACTCATAGAGCTCATGAGTAATTGGAAAGTGACTGGACTGTATACTTTTATCCCAATTTAATTGAAAAAGTGACATCTATTAGCCAGAAATAATAATAGCTGGCACGAATGGTTGTTAAGCCACTTATTCTGATGAGCATCCCCAGGTCACCTTACTCGAACATGGCTCAAATCTGCTTAAGGGCCAATAGAAACCTGGTAAAACAACTGTTTGTCCCTTTTATGTCCAGGTGCCTGACCCAGATGGAGGAGGAAGGCTTTTCTCTGGATGATGTGTTCAGAAAGGGTGTGTTTCGGCAAGATGAAAGAGACATGGTGCTAAAGGCCGTGCAAATCGTCCAGCCCGACTACCAGACCAGCCTCAAAACAGACACTGAGCAGTGCTCCTCATCGCTGGTTCATAACTACTACACACAGGTAAATGTAGCACAGGCTGTCTTTGACATGTACCATGTTCTCAGTTGTTGTGACACAGTGATTGGTTAGTAGCTAACTTAAGGCACTCACAACCTATTTCCTCAAAAATCTTCATACTATGAGCAATAGTCTCCGACATGAACTTACAATTTTTCTACCCAAGTTTAAACAGTTATGATTATTTTACACGTGAGTTTTATGTTTCCGTCCTCTTTTTTTACTCACTGGTCAGAAGTGGACCCAAGTCGGAAAGTTAGAACGTTTTCGGTACAACAATCAAAGTTTCGCAATGTTTTTTATTATGGAATACTGTCAGTTGATGATTCGATAGTTATTTTGCCAGACCACTGAAGGTCAAATCTGATCAAACAACACTGTGAAACTCTTAATCATAATAACAAAAAAACCAAAATGTATGATTAGAAGAACAAATATCAATAGGCCTAGCAGTAATCCTTGTGGTTTGCCAAAATGTACTTTAGATTTAACATTTACAGATAAACTGGCTTTCATTTATCATTATTGAAAAGACAAACAGACAATTGAATCACTTAAAGGTGGGGTAGGTAATTAACTTCAGAAACACTTTTTGTTATATTCCATGGAAGCTCTTAACTAGGGATGGGTACCGAGCCCCGGTATTAAATGGGGCCCCCGGGGCTGAATTATTAAAGACCGTGGTACCGTTAAGCTTCGACGTTATCGGTACTGGAGACATTTAAAAAATATCTCATATTTATTATGCTACACAAACATTATATTGCAGTTTTAGTGTCGCCAACTCCGTTTCTAATACGCACAAAGACTGCAAAATGCGTCTATGACTATTTTGAGTATTTTCGATCTTTCCAATCCAGACGAGAGATCTCTCTCCCCCGTCTGTGTGTGAGGAGGCGGGGCAGTTTACACACACGCAGCTGCTACATGCAGCAACACACGCACGGAGGAGATGGCGGAGAGGACGCGCTCCGAGGTGTGGTTAAACTTTACCCGTCTCGATGTGGACAATGCTCGTTGCCAAAAGTGCAATAAGAGTTTAGCATGTAAGGGTGGTAACACGAGCAATTTGTCTAAACATCTAGCAAAAGTGCACCACATTCAGACGGAGAAATGCACCGGGTTCGACTGTCTGTTAAAGTTTCAGCTACAATGAACCAACCCTGGTGCTGTTTCTTTTGATGTGAAATATTATTTATATATTTTAAATAAAAAGCAATGTTAATTCTGTTTACAATTTGTTTAGTTAGTTTACCTTATTTTTTTCCAAAAGAACCGATAAGAGTACCGTTAAAAGACCGGATCGATAAGCGGTATCGATAAAAGTAGTAGTACCGTTAAAACCTTAACGATACCCATCCCGATAGCAATGAATACATTAAATGCTTTAACAATAAATACATTAAAAAAATGCATCTTTGGAAGCCGTAGTACTGTAAAAAGCACGACCCGGCTGAAATAACTGGATGGCCTACCTGCCTGTCAGCCTTCCATCTCGTGCACAAACTTATCTCGTGCCCTGATTGGTCATGTGCGCGTTCGTGTGTGTTGGAGGAGGGGCTCTGTAAGGAAGTCTGAAGGAAGGGGCGGATTTTTTTCGGCTGCGTACTTTCAAATTCTAGCGCACTCGAGCTGGTTTCTCCATCCTTACCTACCCTACCTTTAAGTCATCATAACTCATATAATGTACATTTATGTGTTAGCTGCTGGCCTTTATGCTTAAATCTATAACTCAATTCAGGGGTTGTTATAGTTACTACAACATGCTGATCTTGATATAGCAGATGTGTGTTGAAATCAAGGATGTTATACCCCAGTTGTTGTTACTTTTAAAATCAGAGATTTAGAAGATCCATCAATGCCATGACGTGCATTTCATAAAGACTTCATTTTGTATCCAGAAGCTTTGAATACATTAGTCACAGTTATTAAACAGCATGGGGCTTTGTGATAAAGAGTGTCAATGTATAACATAAATACAGATATTGTGTATGTCAAAGCACCACAGAAAGCTGTCAGAAGGCTCCAGCGTGACTACGAAATATTTGATTGTCACTCCTTCACAGCCAGACGGGCACTGGCCTATTTATAGTGAGCCGACTGCATCCTAATGGCTGCTCTGCTGTACTCGCCTCTCCTCCTCTCACCTCTCCTCCCCTTTTCCCACCTCACTTCCCCTTCTGATTCTCACATGATTCATTAACAGCTTTTCGTTCAAGTTTAGAATTTAGAATTAGAAACAGATTTATTAATATTGTTGGTCAACTTGATGTTGTTGTTAGCCTGCGTGTGTGAAGGTTGCTATCAGCAGCTCCTGTATTTTTATCTTAAGAGTGTAAATGAATCATGCCACTTAGTGAAATGTGAAACCGGCTAAATGTAAGTGTTCCATTACTTCCCTTCGATGGTATTTGTTAGGCTGGTTATCTGACTATGACTGTGACTTACTGGCAGGTTGATTTAATGACGGAAATGCTGTCCAAATAACTGGTCTGTTAGATAGCAGAGGAGCAGACTGGATGGTCTCCGGAGGATTTTGAATCCGTGTTAGCAGCAGACACACAATCTAATTAGAATATTGTTTGTTGTTGCGAGATGGAATTTTGATTAGGCTGATGCGTGTACAAAATGCAGTTTGATCTAGTTTCAACTTGTCATCAGAGAATGTATGGTATTATCATTTAATTATTTTTGTTTGTGTTGAAACTGGTCCATGTGCCAATTTCAACAAAACATTGCATTTTGCTTTGCTCGCAATACTAACAGTAGTTACTTAGTACACTCCTCAGATGGTTGGTAAAATTGTGTTAATCCAGCCAGTCGATGCATTGTGGGTTTGACACAGTACAGTGTGTGTATATGTATATATATATATATATATATATATATATATATATACATACACACGGGACATTATAGGTTTGGACAGTTTTACAATGTTGTTATGTATTTGAATAAAGTCACACAGCTGGATAGTCCTTTCTGTAGAGCTTTTTGCTTTTCTTTGTACCTCAGAAGCTTCAAGTTTGCACTTTCAACCCTATGTGCCAGCACAATTTTTCCTGTGTTAGCTTTTTAGCGCATCTGTTTTTCTGAAGTTGTAATATTGCACAAGAGCTGTCTGGTGAGCAATTTATGTGGCACACTACCTTAAACTCTGCTCTGGCTACGGTCCATGCTCCATCTCTCCAAGGCCTGATTTACTAGGAGTGAATAAATGTTCTTACCGCTGTACTACAGCCACTAATGGCTGCAATCTTTCTACGACATATAGTATGGTCTTACTGCCTTGGCAAGGTCACTACCTCCTTTAAACAATAACTGACATTTATAAAGCATATTGTATTTCTTTTAGTAAGAAATGTGGCACTGTGTGACAGTCTGTTGCTCAGTTGTTTCCTTTGTCAATGCAATCCGATTTTATCTGGTGCTTTGTTCGAAAGGCATTTTGATAGTTAATTTACTAAGCATACACACATACACTCAGCAATTCATTTCAGGCTATTTATGATCAAAATTGCCTTAATTGACCACTTCGCTAGATTTTCTTTTCGATCATTGAAAATGTTTTTACCATTTAAGCTTTGGACCCCCTTAACTGCCTTTTTATATATGTTCATTCAAATCTTGATAATATCAAACTGAGAAGAAAAATGAACTCTGGGTTTCCACTCTCGCATTACCGAGCCAAAGATTTTTGACACTAACGCTTTCTTTGCAGAGGACTAAAATGCTTTTAAGACTTGGCCTCTGATAACTGCCCTGAAAAGACCAGCAATCAATTGGTGGGCAGGTTAGAGGTAAATACAAAGAAGGTCAGGGTCTTTCAACCTTCTGTCTCTCGAGGTTAACCACAAGGTGAACACAAATCTTTCAATGGCACTGTAGGAATCGGTTATTTCTCTGTTTCTGTCTGTCTTTCTCACAGTTGTGTTTGTGTGCATGTGTTTTAGCGGTCGGACCACCGGTACCCTAAACTGGACTTCAGTCAGGAGGAGCTTCAGCAGCGTTTTAAAAAACAGCTCACCATTGAGCAGGACTGCACCATCACCATCGACTCTGTGGAGGCCAAAAAGCCCATCACTGAGCACATTGCCAAAATGGTAAACAAAAACACATGTTGTCTCTCCTCATCTTCATCACTAATATATACACGTCTTCTAAAAATGTGGATGCAAAAATCTTCAAATAATTGTAAAAGTGTGCTATAGAGGTAAATAGTAGATGGTTTAGTCTTAAAAATCGATAGTCAATCCAAATCCTTAAATATACTTGAGGTACAACATTGGTATTTACAATATATTGGTGTCAGATTATTTGTGACGGACTAGTTCAAATAATTGGTTCCCTGTATCACAGGAGTGTTGTTGTTGCTGCATTGTTTTTAAGAAAAGCAAACCTAATTTCTTACAAACCTTGTCTTTTCCATTTGGAAAAAGAAACATAGCGTAATTTGTACTGGAAGGACATCTTGTTGTTTTGTGCTGTAATTCTTTTCTTTTAAAAGTCGTGTAGATTCCCTTCTTAATCCACCATGCTGGCTCAAATTACAGACGAAGATGGTGTGTTTATCTTGGCAGTTTTCTTGTCTGTTTAAAGAGATTATGCTAACACCATTTACGCAACTTTGATGTATTGACATGCATTTCTACACCAAATGGTACCCAATGTCTGCCAGTTTTTCCTTATTTTCTGTTATAAACTTTTAAATAATATGCATTTAGGCCTGACAGGTTAGAGGCAGGTGTGCCTTTTTTTCCAACTCTGGCATTTACAGTCCTGCCTGGCTCGCCTAGCTCTGCAGATGGGCTACGTGGGAAGCGAGCGGGCTGAGAGTCCCTGGTGGTCGGGAAGCATTTACAGATAGGCAGGACAGAATAATAATGTATTGTAATGGATGCCTCTGGAGAGAACCCAGTCACCTCTCCCTTCACAATCAAGACTGTGTCTCTGCTTCAGTCTGGATAAAACTCTTTGACTAAAGAATGAACTCAGTGCTCGGTATAACTGCAATACCTCCCCATGTTCTTGAACAGGAACAAAGTGTGCGTACCCATCCACAGAATCTAATTTCCTATTATTCAGTGTATGGTCTTAAGTAAATGATTAAAAACCAAGAAGCACATCTAAAACATTTATTATAGTGCACAGGAAAATGAAAATAATGCTGAAGCACATGCGTGTTCTGGCTTCTGGTAAAATAACAACGTGAGAGCTAAGAGCAGTGTTGGTTTAGATATCTGCCTAACTTCAATGAAAGGGATGATGACAGCTGACTACTTCCATTGTCATTGAAAAATGATATACTTTACTACATACCTTTTCTAAAATGGGCCAAACTACCTGTTTTAGTCCTGGATGATACAGTCTGTGGCCCAGATCAAATCAAGTTTTATTTATAAAGCACATTTAAAAGCGATTTTTGGTCGAGCCAAAGTGCTGTACAGTGTACAGTACATTTAATAAAAACACATTACTACAATCACAATAAAAGACAATAAATTACAACAGATGTGTTCCTCTTAAGAGAATAAGGCTTTTCCCCTTTTCGTCTGAAGGTAAAGCTCAACCATCAAATACCATGCACTCTCATGCTACACAATGTCTAGTGAGAGGTGGCCCCATCTGCTGCTTCACAATTCATAACCATGTCAATTGGGTTCATCCAGTGTGTGATAAACAAGCAACGATGCATTCTGTTTGACAATTGTCACATTCTTTATTTGTTTCCTGCTGCCAGTCTATGTTATAAGATGAGGATGACTTCCAGATATTTGTCCTTTCAGAGGAAGCTGCTGGCGAATCAGCGGTTCCTGTGGTACAAGAGCCTCCTCCAGGCCCTGAGGGAGAGTAAAAAGATCCTGGCTAAGACCAACACTGTGGACTATAGGCATAACCTTTATCCCTACCTCTGTGTGCTAAAGGATAAAGACTATGTTGACATCATGATACAGGTAATATAACCCCTCTAGCCCAGCATACAGCTCAATAAAATGCAGGAAGTCTTGGATTTAACGAAGACTTGCCTGTCTGTCTGTACTACACTATACAAACAAAGATTTGTAGCTGATTTTTTTCGATACAGCGGTAGGACCACAAAGCCACACAACACAAATCATGTATCTGACAGTGACAACAGCTGCAAAATCATCATGCTTTATCTTTGGCAGCAACAAAGAGCCTGTTTTAATCAGATACCTCCAACACAGACAAACACACAGGATGTGTTGTTAATTCTGAATATACCGTTTTTTACATTGATTTCCCCTCTGACTGAAGGATTGGTTTATAAATGTTTTGACGTTTTTATCTGTGTCCTACACCTCAGAGTATTGACGAACTGCCACCAAGTGGAGAGGCGCTGAAGATTTTAGCCAAATATCTGGGCGGCAGGGTCAACACCAAGTACTCCGTGAGGCAGAAGCAACACAATCAGACGGTGGAAAAATTGAACAATATTTACGACACCTACACGGACCTGGTGGCAAAAGATGGAAAGGTAGAGTATCACCATTCCCAACGTCTTCTCATTTCTTGTCTTAGAACAATACCAAGTACTGGTTTTACTCTGTTACATCAGATACTATGCTAATGTGACATTTTAAGTTGCAGTACATTTAACAAGAAATGTAGATAAAGTTGTCACGCATATTTAAGTTGGTGCTCTGTTTCAAAGTTTTGTGTCAGCCCGTTCACTGACTCTGTTTTTATGGTCTTTGTCCGCTGGGGGTGAAACCGCTGTGTCATCAGGACTGTAATGAGCAACAGCTCATTATACTCCTGTACCTAGTTATACTAGAAGTTAGTTGTTTGTTTACATGCAGCCTTTGTAGTTAAAAATATCCCTATTATTATATTTTTCTTTGCTGTTATGACACAAATCATTACTTCCTTGTCTGAGGACCAACTAATGTCTCTATTCTCTTGTATCATCTTTTTCCTGAAGGCTCCCTATCTGTGGTTTCTTGTTTTGGCAGAACTTTTAATACCTCTAGACTTTAACAGGATTCATGATATCTTGAAATATGAAAGCTAGCTTTTCATTAGATCACAAAAACAGTGCTTTTTTCACACATTCTTTGATCTTTGGTGTCAACATGCCTTAAAAAACACTGTAGCTTATTGTGATGAGTGAAAACGTAATCCTTACTAAATAAAAACACTCCTGTTCTTCTCCTTCTAGGAGTGTGACACCCTTCCCAGAGAGGAGTGGTGTAAGATAGTGACGGACCAGAATTCAGGCCCCTCGCTGCAGGGAGGAGAGAGCGATTTGCCGTTCATAGTAACCCTGGAGCTGGGCATGTACATGGTGGATTTGATGGTCAGCAACATCAAAATTAATAGCGACATCCTGAATCCCGATTTCGACAAGAAGCTCATACCCCTCATCTACCATATGTACACCTTTCGCAGCACACGACAGGTACAGTGGAAGTCTTCTCAAAGTACTCACAGGGATATCAAAAGAAGTTGCTAGCCTGGAGTTGGTAGCAATCATACTGAAACGGTTTTGCAAAATAGGAAACCTCGTAACAGGATTCCTGAGCGTTTGGTTCCCAGACCAAAGAAGATCCTTTCATCTGAGATTTATATGGAAAAAAGGTCAAGGATTATATTTAAAAGGATCTCCAGCAACCTAAAGTTGAAGAACATTTTCAAAAGGATTCAAAATAAACTCAATGATCTGTCATTATGAGAACCCACAGTCAGTCAAATCAAATGATAATATTATTGGTGACTTTTTGAAAATTACACTAATTCAGTCAGATAAGAAGATCAACCAGACCTAGTGTAAGTAGTTGTACAGTTAATATTGTAATATGGAAACAGATCTACAGTGGAGCAGAAACAAAGGAAATCCCTGAAACTCTTAACCTTCACTGTGGAAAAGAAGGCAACTTTCCCTCTGAAGCCTTTTGCCTTGAACACCCACCTATTCAATGTGAGGCTCCGAAGAGTGTGAATAATAAAACCATTTCTCCCCTCGTGGGAATTTGCGGGGGGGGAGAAGTCGAGTAAGGTGAATAGGTTCGTGGCTAATCCCTTTTTTAGTGTCCCCTTAATTGGCTCGCTGATTTACTGCCACGGGACCCTGCAGGGGGGTGAGCCGACCGTGTCAGGGGAGAGAGCAGGAAGAGAGAGAGAGGGAGATTTGTGGACTTTTTGGATTTGATGCACTCTGACACTGTTGCAGACTTTTACTCTTAAGTTTATTTTATATGAAACTATATATATATACATTTAGTTCTCCTTCTACTTTCTTTTCTCCTATTGTTCCTCTTTCCTCAGAGGTTAGCCCATCAGGGGAGCATCCTAATGATTTTATATCCCAGCGTGGCAGACTGACTCATGCAATGCAATGCTGAGGTGTATTTTTCTATCTGGTTAGTATAGCCTTTGTAATGATGGTATATATTTCCAGTCCGACATGCTGCCTGCGCTTTTATTAATGAGTGCTTTCAACCATTAAGAAATAATCTTTTTTTAAAAGGAAGAATCCTGCAGGTACAAAGCTATCAATAGGCCAACTATATCCAATTGCTCCTACCGCTTTAAATAATACAAAGTGCTATCTACAGAAGAGTGATGTTTTTGTTTGTTGCGGTCAAGAGAGAAGGGTTTTTAGTCTGTAATGAAAAATGTGCGAGCAGATATCATAGTATTCTGTGGATGTCAGTGATCTGATATTAACTAGTGATAAACAGAGGACTAATATCAATCGAAGTAGTATTTAGCATAGTTTTTGGGTTTTGATTGTAACTGCTCTGAAACAGATTATTTATCTCATCTACTGGTATTCATTTATGAGAATTCACATTCATGTTTTCTTCTGCTATGTTTGGCTTCTAATTGGGTGTGCTCTGATGTTTCACCCTGCAGGTTGGCTTCATCAAACCTCACCCCATCCTGTCTCAGATGCAGCTGGAAGCCATGGAGACCAAGTTAACCTTTGACTCCTATGTGATGCCAATGCTGTGCCCTCCTGTGCCCTGGAATTCAGTCAAGTCCGGAGCCTACCTGCTGACACCTAGCCAGCTGATGCGCACAGGGGAAGGAGCCACGCAGCACGAGGAGTTGCTGGAGCAATGCCAGAACCTCCATGCAGTCCTGGACACTCTCAACCAGCTGGGCAACTGTGCATGGAGGATCAATAAGTCTTTGTTGGATATTATTATCTCCATCTTTAATGATCGTGGTAATGATAAGCTAGACATCCCTCCTCCTTTTTCAGAAGCCCCCAAAATCCCCCATTTCAGCCCCCAAGATCCCAGTAATACGTCTTCTGAGAAGGCCCAGATGAAGAGGGAGGTGAGTAGTGCCAGGAAGAAGGGCAGTGAGATGCACAGCCTGCGAATGGACGCTCTTTATAAACTCTCCATCGCCAACTTCATGCGGGATGAGATCTTCTGGTTCCCTCACAACATGGACTTCCGTGGACGAACCTACCCCTGTCCCCCGCACTTTAATCACCTAGGAAGTGATGTCACACGGGCTGTCCTCGTGTTTGCAGATGGGAAGCCCCTGGGACCAAAGGGACTTAACTGGATAAAGATCCACTTAGTCAATCTGACAGGACTGAAGAAGAAGAGCTCACTGAAGGGACGGCTGGAGTACGCCAACAGCCTCATGGAGGACATCCTGGACTCTGCCGACAACCCTCTCACTGTCAGTTTCTCTTTATTTCTCTGTCCTGTTTATCCATAGTTCAGACTGGCATTAATAGTTCTACATAGATTATAGTTAAAACGTCTTATTCTATTAAAATAAGCCAAATTAAATAAAGGCTGCCATTTTTTTAATATATGCAGCCAGAATTGGAATTAGAATACTTTATATATCCTGGGGGCGAATCTGGTTTACTGCCATTTGCTCCGTTTTAGAACAAAACATGTGTATATTTCAATATACAGAATACAGTGGGATATTATTATTGTTAAAGAAATGAATGCTGAAGACCAGATAATTGTTTGAAACGTACCTTTTTTTATACAGCAATAGTCATAAAGAATGAGTACTGCACTGATCAGTTTTCAAAATGCAGATTATAGCATATCCCTTTCTCTTACTGGGGTCAGCTGTAGAGGTGACACATTCTAAAGGGGATATGAATATCTGTCAAAACAAAAAGTAACATGCTTTTCCCGGTGGTGTTTATGTATGCAGGATAATGTGCTTGTGTTTGTCTTTGTCAGGGTAAGAAGTGGTGGATGAATGCAGATGAGCCCTGGCAGGCTCTGGGCTGCTGCATGGAGATAGCCAACGCTGTGAGATCTCCCGACCCAACGCGGTTCATCTCTAATTTTCCTGTTCACCAGGTACCATAAAACACCTGAACTAATTATGTATCTGTTTACAGAGTCGTGTAGCGGTTTGAATCTCATGTCCCATCTCCTACTGATGTGTTATTTAATAAGTCATTCAACTGCTGAATAGAAATTAAATTCATCTCTTGGGTGAAACAAAGATTTAAAAATAAAATAAGATGATTAGAAGCGATTATCCTCAAAATCATTCAGTCATGCTTTTATAGTGCTGTTTTAGAGGGCACATCGAAGTTAACAAGGCAAAACATTGCCTGCCATCTGGGGCCATTTATCTGTTAGAAACCTGTAGCCCTAATCTCACCGCACAGACCACAGCCTCAGATATCCTGTACTCAGATACAAACAAAAGCAACAGACAACTCCTCACAAAGTGCCAGTGTTGGGTTTATGTTTACTATTATTTCAAGCCCACTTACGTATGTCAGGTGTCCAGTGATATACAGGTTTAAGCATTATCTCAAGCTTTTATTTGACACACTGTCTGCCCCTAAGACCTTAGTCAACATCGTGTTATAATGTTCCTTTTTATTTGGCACTTAAAAACAAACCTCTTTATGTTATTTTAGGAATGTACACATTTGATATAATTCCTCTGAATGACATACCAAACATTAACATGTCAAACTCAATGAAAGGGTCCCAACTATGCTAGGTTCATATATTTATTGAATCGTTTATTTGGCAGGGACAATGCACAGTAATGAACATTAAAATGTATGAAGCGTAACAGTGCCAGATTTAGCTTTAATGATGGAATGATATATGTATTTAGTGTCTCTACTGCGACATGTTTACACGCTTTAATGTTCAAAAAAGTCCTCTTTTCACCCTCTGTCGGAAACCAGAACCCAGTCCTTTTAAAGCAAACCAATACAAATGCAAGTAAAGAAAGTGCCAATATTCTTTCTGATTCCAGAGTTTAAACTTATACAAAGTAAAAAGCATAATATAAACTATATTAACATGAAATGCAGTGTAATCAATATGGCCAGACTTATTTAGCACCCCCTCCTTGTATCTGTATCTAATGGTTTCCACTCAGCTTTTATCATCAATCTGCTCTTGGTCTGTAGAAAAAATGAGCCTTTTAGCTGAGTCTGTCCCATTGATGTTAACTAATGTGAACTGAGATAATGAGTTAATAAATAAAGGAAAGGATCTAAGAAGCCAAAGGAGACTTGTGTGAGAGACTTTTAATGGAAGTTACAGAACTTTAGGCAAAGTAGAGAGACATTCAGGTTAATGTCACATTAGGACAGACGTAACATAAATAAGATAACTTCTGCAGCTGCCAGGATTGTGGCTAACTTTTTTTGCAATATTCATGTTGTGTCTTTTTAATTTTGTAACACTGACCACCAGTGACTTTTAATTTAGTGTAAATGATAAACAAATATATCATCAGTTAATTGTTAACCGCAAGTCTGATGCCAAATCCGGTCCAGATGTTTCTTTGAATGGTGCAGATCATTTAAAATGCTCATTGACGGTTTGATGGTCTGGCGTAAAGTGCAAACTTCACTTTGTGGCTTTGTCAGAGTGAATATGGTATGAACTAAAAGCCTTAACAAAATCTTTTTTCTCATCCATTTAGCTGATGCTCATGTATTTCATATTGCCCTTTTTGTCCCCATTTCTGTTTCCTCTTTTTAGTATGTTTACTGTTCTTTAACATCCATATTCCTTTGTGTACCCGTTCTCTGATTGTGTGCTGATTATTCCTTTTCTGTCTGTGTTCTCTCCTGCTCCACATCCTCGCTTTAATCCCTCTCCTTTTCTCCTGCAGGACGGTTCCTGTAATGGTCTCCAGCACTACGCTGCTCTGGGCAGAGATGTTATTGGTGCCACATCAGTCAACCTCATGCCCTGTGAGCTGCCTCAGGATGTGTACAGTGGAGTCGCACAGCAGGTCAGCTTGGTTTGGTTTTTGTTACCTTTTTGAACTGGATGGCTTTGGTGTTGCACAATGTAACCAAATTGTGGTACCGCTAAACTGTTAATCTCTTACTGTTTCCCATGAGTTAGTGACAGTTTAAACATTGAGAATACATTTCAAGTTTCTCACTTCAGTTCTAGCATCTAAAAAAAGGTGTTTCATTTGTTCAGGCCTTGCATCAAAGTGCAGTGAGAGTAGACGCTCATATCCAAAAGCTCAAAGGGGGCAAGTGCGCAGACAATGCTATCAAAGAACCCAGCCTGCTGTGAACCTGCATACTTTTCAGGCTGGAATAATTGAAGCTAATTGTTATGTGACATTTCAGTACAGGGAAAATCAGAGTGTGCTGGGGAAAAAAGTCTGTCTGCGGCTGTATCAAAGGGCAGTGACTGTAATTGCAAAGTGCATTGTTGGGTTGTCAGTGAGCTGGACGACTGACTGTAAGAGAGAGCAGGACAATGCAGGCAGACATTATCAAACAGCTTTATTTGTACCTAAGATACTGTGTAGATCTTTCTTGTGAACTAACCAACCACCTGGATAAGTAAATGTGTTTAACTCGTAAAGATAGGCTGTTCAAAAAGTAATCTACAGCTGAAACAATGTCATTATTTATTAGGAAACTTGCCAAACATTTTCTTTCATTTGACAGCACACTTTTCAATACCTAGTCAATGCAATCAACAAAAGATGCTATATAGAAATATATTTCTCGCTTCAAATCAACTTGAAACGGTTAAATTATCACTAAAGTTCCTTTTTAAATTCATAATACTCAGTATGAGAAATATATGTTTACATGTTGCTCCTCTACTGTGACAAGCTTACATGCTTTAATGTTCAAAAAGCTCTTTATTTATCTCACACTGCCTGTGCTGCAGCACCTCTTTTCACCCTCTGTCTGAAACCAGAGCCCAGTCTGCTCTGATTGGTTAGCTGGCCGGCTCTGTTGTGATCTGGTTGTTAGATAAATACTATTTAATTATTGACTTATTGACAAATCATGATATAAATCAATATCAAGATATTCTGAAATATCTGGATAGAAGAGTTTGGCTGTATTGCACATCACTACTTCTACCCTGATCTATATGTATTTGGGGTTGTGCATTTAAATATTCTCCACTAACACATCTGTTACTATCTCCGACATGTCCATGTGTTTCAGGTGGAGGAGTTTAGAGTGCGGGATGCAAAGAACGGGGTGAAAATCGCCAAGCTCCTGGAGGGCGTCATCAGCAGGAAGGTGGTGAAGCAGACCGTGATGACCGTGGTGTACGGGGTCACACGCTACGGGGGCCGCCTGCAGATAGAGAAAAGACTGAAGGAGATTGATGAGTTCCCCAAGGTACAGTTATGTGGTAGATGTGGGCTTCCCTCGCACTGCATACTGTTTTATTTTTAGTGTTGTATCAGCGCGGGATGACAGAGTGGCCTTTTTTTTAGTGAAAGATCTACTCTATATCCTTCTACGTCTCCTCTTCGGTTACACATTCAGAGATGCATACACTCAGCCCATACTGAATCTCAATTAAATGCAACTGATCTAACCTCCTTGAATGTCATTTCTCCATTGTCTCCTGTATGTCCAAGAAGGCATTTATCACACAGCTGACAGTGACTGCAAATGATTTCAGTAGCTTTGACCTGGACATTAAGACTCCTAGCACCCTGTCTCCAAGTGTGCTGTTGGTGGAGCAAGAACATTAGCTTTTATTATTCCTATTAGGCAAGTTTATTTATGGGTTATTGCAGTGGAATGAGATATTGCATGGTTGTATCAGGGAGGCCAGCAGTGTAATGCAACAACAGCTATATTCGATATCCTGTGCACAGTCATTATAAATCTATTTTTAGTTCAGAACCACTGCACTTTGATTTCATTGGACATAACCGGTTCTTTGACTGGAACAAATGATTATATGGCAGGGAAAGGGAGGCATGTAATCTTCCTACAGCTCTGTAATGCTTATTATTTGTCAAATAGCTACATATATTGCCTTACAATAGTTGGAGTTATTCTGGTTGTCTGTATAGATAAAACCAGCATGATCCTGCTGTCAGTGTATCTGCCATCTCACAGCCAGAGGATTGTGCTAAATGACTCCTGTATAATATTCCTAATTGTTTAAACACAGAATTGGAGGGAAGTGTAATTGTGAGTGTTTACAGGGGGTTGGATGTGGGGGGGGGGGAGGAAGCTGTAAGCCAGGAAGAGATCGTATCGCTGTAATGATATCTGAAATGTCCCAGGCTCATTCAGTGCTGCAACTTTTACCACATATTTGCATTCTACATTTAATACCTAATAATAACTAAATGGGGAAAACAATCATTTGTATTGATGAGGAAAGCAGTGAAGCGAGAAGGTGATGTGTGCAAAAATACAAAAGCATAATCATGTATTGTTTTCCAGGAGCATTTATGGGAGGCATCTCGTTACCTGGTGCGATTGGTGTTCAACGGCTTGCAGGAGATGTTCACAGGGACCAGAGAGATCCAGGTGAGTTTATCGCACCTATTTAAAAAAACACATTTGTTTCTTACTAGTTGCAAAACAGAGCTGACATTCAGTAGAAATATTGTCTCAAAGTACAGTTGTTCTTATTTTTACTAGAATCTATATCCCTCATGCAATAAGTCTCAACACCTTAAAGGGGACCTATCATGCAAAATCCACTTTTCCATGTCTTTTATACATAAACATGTGTCCCCTCTGTGTGAAGAGATTCTGAACGTTTCAGGAAAAAAGATTCTCTCTCTTTTTGTCCTGATCCATTTATATAAAAACCTGTCTGAAAATGAGCTGATCAGATTTTGGCCACTTTATGATGTCATAACGATTTTTTGGCTTGTGTAACCATTAGCCAATCACCAACCAAAGTAACCCCCCCCCCCCCCACCTTATCACCTGAATCTCCTCCTAGAGCACCATTGTGTTCTTTTTAACCAAATATCTCTCCGAGGGGCGTGGGGAGGGGCTCCTTATTTTCATCTAAAGTAACAGACAGAGAATCAGCACTTTGGAAACAGGGCTGAAACAGAGGGGATTATGAGATGCTGCAATGCATACTGGTTGGTATTTTGAGGCAAACACTTCAGAGACATGGTTTTTAATGTATCTGAAACCTATAATATATTGATGAAAAACAGTATAATAGGGGACCTTTAAAGTAATAACCATTAGGTAATATAATGAAAGTTTATGTCATGATGCCTGATTATTTGTAATGTATTATTATGGGTAAAATAAAGACAATGGTCGACTAAGACACTTACATGTAATTAATCCAATTATGTTGTCTGTGTAACCTAGAGACTTTAATCAGATCAGCTAAAAATGTGAAAATTGGTTTGTTGATAAATAAAAGGTTCAAGATGAAGAATAAAGTTTAAAATAATAAAATAAAATTAGGTTAACAACAAATAAATGTGTCTGCAAACAATTGCTATGTGCAGTATAAACCCAGATTATCTGACTGAATATTTTTGTAGGATAATAACAAAAGACAATTCCTATGTTCCCTGTAATTTAAACAAAATTACATTTCCCCCTACGTATCTTCTTCGGAAAGACTTAAATAGAAAAGCTTTTGTCTACTGACCTGCTACTCCTATATAAGATATTTCATTTTCTAATAATGTCTAGTTTACTTTACCACTACCGTGACTACTGCAGCCATTCATCACAGAGACTCTTTTTATAGATTTAGGGCGTGCACCTGGCGGGGGATACTATATTATCTCCACAGGCAGAGAGGAGTCTGGCAAGCAAATAGAAACACCACCCACGACCATGTTTGTGTCCTCTGGGAAATGAGTGGGGATGGCCCAATCTGAGATGAAAAATACGCTTCCCATCATGCCTTGGTGCCGACATAATGCTGTTGTGTGTGTGTGTGTGTAAGTGTCTGAGTGAGTGTGTGCACCTGTTGCTTTCAAACAGGTCACATCCTCTGGGTTTTCAGCAGTGAGTTGAGTATGAGTGAGAGAGAAGCAGCTCTGTCATCCCTGACCCCTCCTCCCCTGTTTATTTTCCATTTATTCCCCTTCCAACTGCGTCTGTCCACTCCCTCCCTCCCTCTGCTGCTTATCAATCTATTACTGACTGATCAGTCAATCTCTCCGGCTTCCTCACTATCTAATCTCGCTCTCCCATCTCTTTGCTTCCACACTATCTTCTTTTCGATGTACCTGAGAATAAAAGGAGAGAGGTGATGATGAATGGTGCGGCTTTGGGCCAGACTGCTATCTCGAGTTGTTAGGACAAATATATCTTTCCTACAGCTCTCCATGTGCCTGCATGTGTGAGGAGGCACTTTTGGGGCATTAATAGGGCTTCTATTCCTGGAGATAAACTTTTCCAGACACTTGTGCAAAACGTACGGATATTTATCAAGCTTACCAACAACTTCTCACTTGTTCCTCTGCAAGTTTGCAACACTTGTTTCAAGAAGTAGAACAGCAGACATTATGCATCTTTTATGCAGTGTATTTTCTCAATGCTGTTCCAAATGCACCATGATGTTCTTTATTTCTAAAGCCCGATTAATTACATCCACCTACAAACGGTCCAGACTCACTGATTTGAACCCGATTGCTCTGTTGTGCACATAAACACACTTACACAGGAAATAGACAGGCTCACACTCTTGATTGCTGGCGGGCTTTGATTTTCTGAGTATGTTTCACAATCCAGTGTGTGCCCTCAATGTACCTCTGCTTTTGCATCTGTGTGTTGCAGGAATGGCTGACCCAGAGCGCCAGGCTCATCTCCAAGGCTGGCCACTCGGTGCAGTGGGTGACTCCCCTGGGATTACCCGTCATTCAGCCCTACCACCGCGCACGCCGCCTAGTGGTAGGTCTCTTACGACGGATTATGAAGATGCTCTTTACTAGTTTTTCTCAGAGAAGTTGTCGTACTTTTTATGAATCACACGCTGCTATATCTAGCTACGTTTGTACCATTGGAATTAGAACAGATGCCAAGTGTAGCAGGGCTTCAAGTCCAAACGTGCACATTACATAGAAAATAAATATAATATTCCACTAGGAAATATTAACAATGGTACGTCATGCAAGACTAATAATAATACAGAAAGTATAAAACAAATGGAAACTAAATAAATATAGAATAAAGCAACTAGTGCAGCAGAGGTGTTACAGAGTCTCATGCCGGGACATGTCAGGTCATGTTTGATTGGGAGTCCAATCTAGAAACAAGTGGACTTTTCCTGATCAGTTCGACCACTTTAAACCCTCAGACGGCGCCGTTCACCATCGTTTCATACACCGTAAGTTAGACAGTTTTGCCAATTACAGGCCAGTCTTTATTTCTCTGTATTTGATACTTTATGTATTCTCTTTTATCGTTATCTTGTGACACCTTGTGCTTTGCTCTTCCTTACTTTTGCTCTCACCTTTCACACCACTCGCAAAACTGACCTTTTATAGCACACGTTGTATCCATGTGTTTCACTCACCTTAGCATACAGTACTCATTCATCCCTCTGTTGGCTTACTGGCCACCATCTTATTGCTGATATTGTAATGTGTGTCCAAATGTACCGCTCCTTCTCTTTTTCTTCTCATATTTCCATGAGGCAGTGAGATGCTATGGATCATCACTTTCGCTATTATCATGATTCCAGAGTTTAATTTCCACTTACTAGATTTCATTGGGCTTTGATGGAATTTCTGATGAAGCTGATAATAAATGGCCAGTTAGCTGTGATGCGTTGGTTGACTTTAAATAGACAGGCTTACACACATATATGATTCAAATGAGTATTTACACTCATACTGTACATATTAAAACTAAGATTAGTGGTTCTTTTTATAGCTGTCATCTTATAACAAGCTGTTATGAGAGCAATCTATCATGCTCACACAGCCTGCCCACTAAGGCTTCACTTATTATGGTCTGGCAAGGCCCAACATGCATTTGCTCAAATTAAGGGAACTGCAAGTGTGCATTTTGATCAGCCTTTTCCAACAGATAGATAATTGACAAGTGCTCTTCACAGCACACACGTTAACAGTACTGGATCCACTGGACTCTGTACATTGTTTAGGATATCTCATTTGGTTGTAGCTCTTTGACAGAATGGCAGCCTGCCAGGGCTCCGTGGATTTATTTCCCAGACTAATACCTCAAAGCAAAAAGTGAGCCTGCGAGACTCACTGCAGTTTGGCTTTGATTTTAGTGTGTCCTCAACCCATCCCTTTGTGTTGGACTCAAACTATTTTTGGCTAAAACCAAAATGATTCACAAAGTGTTGTTGGTGTTTGCTCTTTTAGTCCAGAAGAATAGTCCACTCTCTTTATTGCCCTTCCGCAGTCTCTTTTCATCTTTCATATTATAAGCAAGACATGCACCTTATCATGAGTATTGTCCTGGATGCTGGGCTTTCACCACTGATGGTGTGATGTGATTGCTGTGAGTGGCCCAACTTTGAAGGAGCTCAAACACATCACTAAAGTTCTCCGTCACTGTGGAAGTCCTGACAGCAGCATGTCTTAAAGATAACACGTCTGAGTACAGATAACATGCTTTTGTGTGTGTGAATGCCTGTCAACGCTTTCGTGCCGGTTAGCGTGTTCGGAAAAATGTTCACGTCCCATAGAGATGGGAGGAATTCCATTATCTGTGTTTATTATGGAGCCTCAAAACAATTGATAGGAAGGCTATATAAAGAATTATATCATCAAGCCATGTTGATTGTTGTTTGGTTGAAAAGTAGTCTATTTCAATCTGGAACAGTCCCGTCAATAGACTTGTGCATAAAACAACAAAAATACGTTTATATTATCAGAATCCTTCATTTGTCCTGCAGTGGGCAAAGGTACAGCTTCACTGCAGCAAAGAAACAGTGCAGACTACAGGCATAAAGAAAATGACTAGACATATCAATTAAAGAAAAAGGCAAGCACACCCTATTAAAGACATAAACGCCCTTAACATAAAGTATTTCTCCCATTTAAACACCGGTGCTTGTGTGTGTGCAAAGAGAAATCCTACATAAGTCTCATTATATAAAATCCTATTTGACCTCCTTATCCTAAAGTCCATTAACTAAGTGAAAGGAGGAAACAGACACAGCGTAAACAAAGCTCATGCAGACAGCTAGCTCATAGGCTGGCTCCACATGCCACTTGCTCTTTTAGCATGACATGAAGCAGAAGGTGGCTTAGAGGGGGATTGACACCTCATCAGAAAGTGCAAGAGAGCAAGGGTGACAGATGGTGGGTGCCCTGAGGCTGCATCTCTCTCTGTCCATGAAGTAGAACTCTGATTGGATCTGTTTCTTTTAATGTCCAGCAGGGAAAAGGAAGCTGATTAGCCTGTGAGTTTTTCCCAAGGCCTAAAGATGAATAACTGAATGAAGCGACGACTTCATGGACCAACAAGGTCTTATTTCAGAGATCACTTTTGTCATCCCCTGCATTCTTTAATCCAGTTGCATCATTGAGCACCAGAAATGAAACTTGCAGAAAGGTCACCTTTCCAGTCATGGCTGGATGTAATTCAATCCCCCCCGTCTCCTCTCTGCCTCTTAAATCCGAGGCTGCAGTGTTTTTTGGGGGTCGTTAATAATTAGACTCTAGATAGAACAGGAAGATGAAGTGTGATGCCGTGAAGAGAACAAGCTACAATAGCATCCATTCACAAAGGAGTGTGTGTGCAGTATGTTTGTTGCTTCTTTTCAGTGTGCATACAGAGGAGAGTACAAATGCAGAGCAGTGTAATCGAGTAGTTTCCATGGCTGATGGGAGGTGAAGAAATTAGAGTTGATGGAGTAGCTGAATGGAGCACAAACACATACATCAGGGAGGCTGCTTAACGGGATTGAGAGATACTAATCGGATCAGAGGTCACTCTGGCTCAGATTCCTCCTTTAGTTTTCATTTTCCACTCTCATGCAAGGTTACAATGAAATCTCACTTTCAGGGGATGGAGACACGAGGGAGCTCTCAACTGGATTGGCTGTATTTGTGAGTGTATAGTGTGACTAAAAGCTGGGTGTCCTCTGTGTGGAAAGAGAGGATTTAGTTATTTTGTATACAGTTCAAAAAGCGATACTAAAAAGTCCACTGTCATCATCAATCAATAGATTAGTATAATGTAGTATGAGCCTCTGGAATTAATGAAAAGTGTTAAACATCATGTACAGACTATGAGACCATGAGCCTCCTGTGCACAGACAGGCCCCATTCTACATAGGAGCAATGCACCAACATCAAAAGACACATTTAGAAGCTTTTTGTGGGGGTTTTCTGATAGTTTGTGGTCATTTTGTGTCGTATGTAGTGCCTGTCTAGTCTGCCTTTCCTTTGTATGGAAGCAAAATGACTGCAGATTTGGAAACATTCTCTAGGACTGTATAATCGGAGTGTGTCCTCTTTTCTAATTCTGGGGATACGTTTCCCTAAATGTCGCGGGATGCCCTCCATGTCTTCTCTTGTCATGGATGAGAAGCGAGTGGTTCCGAGGGGTCACACAGTGTTTCGTTGATCTCGCAGAATCTCGTGGCATTTTCCGGTGAAATAATGAATGCAGTCTGAGTTTCAAGGACACCCCCGAGTGGAAGAGAGAGATACAAAAAGTTTGGTAGAAAGGATGTCTGGAAAAGGTCAGTGGAGGTGTGGCGAGACTCAGTGGTGTGTGTGACAATGAGTCTGCAGCTGTCTTCCGGGGATGAAGGCGAGGGAGAGGACCAGGTGACCCGGAACAGCAGGGAAGTGAGGTGTAATGAAGAATTACTCCACCTGAATGGATGAGACGTGTGTTTTGAACCACTGTGTGATGCATGGGGATTCCCCTCTTGGCAGCATGACCTTTATGTGGTTAGTGATGACTGTTGAAACCATGACCATCTGCGCTTTGACTCTCGTGATTTAGAGGAGCCTATTCCCCACAGACACACAGCAGGATTAACCAAGGTCTCATTTATCACAGCCCCAGGGTTTGAGTCAGGTCTGTTACACAAATCATGCACGTATGCATTATAATGAACCAGGGTAAGGTAGTGACCTCATCTACAGTGAGGCAGTCATTACTCACATCTCTTTCACTTTTACACCTTTTTGCGTCACAGCTTGGCCTTTTCTTCTTCCTTAACACACAGAGGATAGAAAAAAGGGGGGGATGATGGACAGCTCCCCCCCACAAGACCTCCTAGAGCAATGATCGATGAGATAGCAGCCATGGCACAGACTGATGGGGTTTTGATAAACTAGGCTTATATTTTAAAATAGTTTTTTTATAATTTTAAGATTCTGTCATTCATCATACAGCAACCTTAAAATTGTGACTGGAGTTACCGAGTTTGTGTGTGGCTGTGGGAATAGTTGGTTACTGCCTGTGTGGAATGACCGGCACAGAATCAACTATATATGAGACCGATCATTGTATTAATTTACAGGTCATTTATTTGACACTTTTTTACATAGAGACTTGTGTAAAATATCGCTTTTCAATACCGTAGACATTCCTACGGGAGCAATTTGATTTGGTTAAGTGTCTTGCCCAAGGATGATTCCACAGGTCTATTGTTGGCTGGGAATTCAACCAACAACCTTCTTATTGGTAGACGCGTGTCCTCCCTGAGCCACAACCACCCATGATGAATATCTGGTAGTCATTTTAATATTTTATTTTTACTTTAAGATGTCATAGAAATATTAATTACCGGAAAAAAAAATTCAGCCTAATTTGAACAAAGCCCCTCCTCCACCGTGTTTACTACTTGGAGAAGTAGATGATGTAGAAAATGAAATGAATATGGTTACATTTCTTACCATACTCTATTACTAGTTTTCATACAGTACAGCTAGCGGTGTGGGACTTGAAGTATGGAAATGTCAGTCAGTTGTCAGGTCCACCAGACTGAAATATCTCAACAGATATTACATGTAAAACTTGCAATCACACTCTTTTTCCTGATATTCATGGTCCCCAGAGGTTGAATCACTGGAGACATAATTTAATTCACAGCTAACTTTTACATTTATCACTCATTAGCTCATCTAGAGTGCACACTAGTATGTCTGTGTACCACATCCGAAATGGTTGGAGCCCTGTTAATGAGTGGTGCTGTAAGTAACCAATAGAAGTCTACTAATTGTGGCTCTAATTTGATCAAGGATAAAGGTGAAACAGTTTGAATGTCCCAATACCCAACACAGCATGTATAGTCAATGCTAACTGAAGTGACTTCACCAAAATCATGACACAGCACAATGTAATTCTTCTCTTGGGAGTTTTTTATTTATTTCCTTTAACCATGTGGGAACACCTCCCAATTAGGGTCCACAAGATATTGCAGTCCTCCTAAAACCTTTACAGCACTCAGGAGATCATCACACTTGAAAAGTTCTGGTTTTCAGCCTTTGCAGGAGGACATTATAGACTTAGAAAGAGTACAAAGCAGATTGGGGAACGGTTCAAATTGTAGAGGGATGTGCACTTCAAAGGGCATGTGATTTCAGTGTTCAGAAGCAAGCAAGATCAAATAAAACAGCAGGACATTAGCACCAAACACACACTTATTAAAGACTCCTACAGGGTGTCAGAACGGCTGTGGTCCTTTTGAGGTCTCCTGAGCTCATATCTGAAGGAGTTGTTTGTGTTATTGACATAAAAGAAGTTGAATTCTAAGACCTCATCCAGCAACACATTTAGTTTACAGCCATTTAATGGTAGTATAAAGCAAACCAAAAACTACCCTACGAAAACACAAAGATGAAAAAGACCCCATTTTGCCTAATGTGAATGAATGTATTTCTTTGTGTTGCTTGTTTATGATGCATTTCAATATATTTGACCTACATAAAACGAATTGAATGCATGTGTATCCACGTGGGAGCCTGTTATTAATTAGGAAGACTCAAACTTACACATGTTCTATTTATTCGTATGGGTAAATCTGGCTTTGATCAGTAACTAACAATACTTACGCAGTTTGATTATGTACAGTACAAATAGATCTAAGTAATTGCAATGTCTTGAACATCTTTGAATTGAAATGGAACAATGTGATATTGACTTTGAGTATTGAGTTGACTTGAGATGATTAACCCCTTCATTTGTTTGTCTTTCTTTTGCCCGCAGTTAAAGAGTCTCCTCCAAAGTGTCTTCCTCTTGATCAACTATGACACCAAGCAGTAAGTCTTCCTGCAACTAACATCCGTCTGGTTTTTCCACTCTCATACTGAACCTGATCCACAGCAGATGTAATGTTACCACTTTGTTCACTCATGGTGCTCATTGACATTTTGTGCTGAAGTGTCAAATCAGTGACCAGAAACAAAGACAGAAAATATCTGATGAAAGAAACCATGTTTTCAGGCCATTCTGTCTGAACTTTTTGTGAGTTTGCAGTCACAAGCTTTCAAATGTAGCTTCAGACTGCTGGAGATATCACCATTTAGCTTTTAGAGGTGAATGGGAGCAGAAAGTAGAGTTCTCTGGAGGAAATTAGCTTACACTTTCAAGACCTTCTGCTGCACAATAGCTCTGTCTCCTGTGGATATTTCCATTAATTGCCTACTCGGATGTAACTTTGCATTTGTCATAAAGTAGGAAATGGCATCAGAAGTGTTTCAAACTCTTTTGAAAGCATTGCTCAACACTAACAGCTTCAGATAAAATAAGTTGAAATGGGTCTTTCACAAACAGAAATTAGTTCAAACTCTTTTCTCCAGATGCTTCATTTATAAATATAAAATAATATGACAACCAAAATCTATTTTGAAGGGGGGGTTATGCGAGAAAGTCAGCAGCAAAATACACATCAAAAATGGTCTAAATAGAATCTAAATGAGAACATGTTTTTATAATGAGAATCATTTGTTGAACATGTGGTTTTAAATAAAGTAATATTCTGTAGGGGTAGTATAAATACATTTAGACTAGAAGTAAAACACTTCATTCCACATATTACAATGTCCATGTGTATGATTGTAACCCCTACACATGTTTGACTCTGAAAAGACCATGTAAGCATGTTACGTTAAATTGTTATTTTTCCACCTGTGATTCCCTGAGTGGCAATCAGCCATTTATTCTCAATGGTGGGAGAGCTTGATAAAAATGTATGGATTTCAAAAGATGAACAGCAAAAGAGGTGAGCAGAGGACACAGAGAGACATCAACAGTGTGGCTAGGGAAGACTGGAGTGAGATCACTTGTGACAGAGATGACAAAGACTGGCAGCTGTCCTCAATCTGACATCTACAGTGCTCTACACATCCAGCAGTGTGAATCCTTAAAAAGCAGAGGGAGGAGTGAAAGCAGAGAGAGGAGTGAAAGCAGAGAGAGGGCAGGATGTCGCGCAGAAAGGCTGTCTCGTGAAACTTTAGATTTCACTGTCAGAGGAAGCATCGGTGTTTCACAGGCTGACGTTCTGAGCTAAACTTGGCTGATTTTCCTCGGCATTTCCCTCCACACTCTTCTGCACTGGCTGTAATTAAAGATCCAAAAAAAGCATGTCCAGCGTCTAAATATGTAAATATTTAGACGTGTGTGTGCTTTGGGTTAGGCCTAGGCGCTCTCCGCTCTGTCTCCATTCCCATTAGAGGTGCGTTCTGCTCTGCGGCAGCCCAGAGGATTTGAATGGCACAGGCTCAGGGTAATGGGAACATGGGGATACAGATTGGCAGGATGCTTTTTTTTAACTGCCAGTTCCATCATCAGGAGTAGCAGCAGCACTGCATTTTTATCACCTTGTACTTTTTCTTTTATATCACTTCTATATTTGTATGCTCTCTTTTTTACTATGGTTGAGAAAGCACAGAGCCACAGATTCCCCTGGAGGTCACATGGCAGAAAATACATCTTGGTGCTGAAATCATGCACTCAAACAGACCTCCTCACAGCAGGCTGACATTACATGGACAAGCACTGGGGGGATGAATATTATCAATAATGCAGCCAATAATGTATTAATTACACCTGCTTATCTGTTAGTAAGACTTACCATGTAAGCAGCTGACAAACAAAAACACATTCAACATTTTTCCTGTTTAGCAGTGAGTTAGATAGACAGTTAGCTTAGCCAAGCCTCAACCACTCTGTAGGGTTCAACCACATATATCTTGTCGGTCCACAAATTAAATTTATATTCAGCAATGCATCACATAATGTTTGATGAGACCTTCCCACTCAATGAAAGCACATTTGCGTCATAATAATAACTTGAATATAGTGTACATACTGCAAATAAAATACTGCTTTGACTGAAAGAGTGTTTAAAATGTAGGAATTTTTCAATTTATGTAATACGTTATTGTGAAAAACTATAAAATACAATACACACATTTGACATGTTTATATGAGGACCCCCTTGGCTGTTCTAATAATGTTTTATATAAAATTGTGTTTTCTATTTAACTTATTTTACTAAGATTATTATTTTTTTAAATCTCACGTACCCCCTGCAGTACCCCAACGTACCCCCAGGGGTCCGCGTACCCCCATTTGAGAATCACTGCTCAAGGGAACAGTGGTTTTAAATGCAATGCTGACTTAACCCTTGTGTGGTGTTAATATTTGTGTTACTCAGCCAGTGTTTGTGGGTCTGGTGGACCCGCTGCCTTTTTGGGCTTCAATTCAACACAATCAAACTATTTTATATTAAAATACTCAACAGATGTTTACTTCATCCCAACTACACGCAATATAAACAGCATATATGGTTATTATTTGCCCTTTTACATTTGTTAGATCACATTAATGAATTAAAGTGCTACTTGTTGTTTTGCCCGCTGACCGGCTGGTCCTGTGGCTCGTCTTTTTTTTGTAACTAGCCGATGCTCAATCTCATCCTCTTCTTCAAAGTCACTGTTAGACTCAGAATTCTCAGAAATATGATCCTCACATTCTGAAACCTCTTCCTCTACATCAGTGGTTCCCAACCTGGAATGAACCTCGGGGGTGCGCCAAAGATCGCAGGGGGGGCGCCAAAGATCGCAGGGGGGGCGCCAGGCCTCAGATGATTTGAGGCCAAATATCATATTTAGACTTTCTTTCTTTCTTTTTTTTTTTACATATAATTGTAAGCTAATACATGATTGTCGCTAAAAGCCTTGTCTCTACATTACAATAAAATAAAAAAAAAAATTGATTAATTAATGTTAATAAAAATTCAAGTTAGTAGCTATTAAAGGCTCCGATCAGATCGGTCTCCTCCATTTTGTAGATTATTTACGACTTTTGAATCCACATCGGCAAAATCCGGCTTACTTTGATCAGTTGTCTTGATCAAACTGGTGAAGCTTTATTTATTCTGTCTTGCCCCAAATGTGCAGCTTGGATAGAATGTAATAAAGATTGGTTCCCGCAAGACATAATGCGGGAATGTGAGAGCAGACAGGTGTCCATGCTCGAATTTATCAACAATGTTGCAACCTTGTGTGGCAGGGGCAGAAACACACAAGTCTCATACATATACACACACACACACACACACACACACACACACACACACGGCCCAGACAGGTGCACAGGATCTACAATTTCTATACTTTTGTTAGCCCCGGGTCCGGGACCCGAACATCCTGTATGTAATGTAAATGTGTAGGGGGGGTGTACAGTGGGTGGTCATTGAAAATGTGTTCTGATATATGTTCTTCACAGAAAATGAGCCAAGGCCATTGAGTCTGAAAAAATAATTTATCTTATCATTTTTAAGAGCAAATACTGCACAGCCGTAAAAAGAGGAATCAGAATAGCATAGCTAACTCTCTCCCTGGGAATTATCGGCAAGGTTCATGGCAAGGCTGCTTCAGACTTGGGATAGGTTTGCTGAAACATCTCATTTTATAGTACAAAGAGTGTTTTATATGTCTTTGCTTTGCTTTCTTTTTCCTCTTAGGATGCCAGACACAGTTAAACAGAAGAATGCCTTCCCTCCAAACTTCATCCACTCTCTGGACTCCACACACATGATGCTGACTTCTCTCCACTGCTACAGGTATCATTTAAAGGCACCCAATTATACTCATTTTCAGGATCATATTTGTATTTTGTGCCTCCACTTTGACATTTCTCCATTCTTTAAATGTGGGGTAGTAAGTTTGAGAAACCAGCTCGAGATACACTATTTGTTACATTCCATGGAATGCTCTTACAGGGTGTCCGCGGGGTCTTAAAAAGTATTAAAAGTTGATAAATCAATTTAGCGAAAATTAAGGCTATTAAAAAGTATTAAACGGCATTTCCAAGGTATTAAGAAGGTCCACAGCAACGACAACATGAAACACCCTTTAATTTACTGAAACAACATGTCGGGAAACCCCCTCAAGGTGGCCCCATGCATAGCGTGCCATAAAATGCTGCTTCTTAGTTTCGTTGCCTTGCTCCGCTCTGTGTGTGTGTGGGGGGGGGGGGGGGGTTTTATCTGCTGGTGGACTACCTGAAAGATATACAGCAGGAGAACACGCCGTCCACCGCGGAGAATAAACAGAAGGGCAACCATGACAACCATGCTCCAGGGTCTTCTTCGCTGCTTTTGGTGTATTTTGTGGCGGCAGCAGCGCCACTTACAGGCCTGGCATATGTACTACAGCGTTTCCAGCATTTCCAGCGGTCTTGTGTGAACGGACACGTTAATGAATCGAATGCGTCTGAACGGAAGACTTTTTTGCGTTTGCGTATGTGTTTTACTGTATGCGTCCTCGTGGGGCCGGGGTCTAAGCCAAACTATATCCGGTCACAGAGATCTGCTATTTTAAAGTAAGGTCAACACATATCGACTCTAAATATAGTCTATATTAAGAACGAGAAAAGTCTTAACATATATATCGTTTTTTGTAAACATATGACAAATGTGTGAGGGTGATGACGTCAGAGCATCGTCCTATGTGCCGGGCTTATCCCCGGACAGCCCCAGCCCAATTTAACCCCTGGGTAGTTGTGAGGGAGTTCCTATATGGCATTACCCCGCTGAAGCTCACCACAGTTTAATATATTTCATAGTTCAAAGTTTTGTTAATTGTTTTGTTTATTGGTCAAATACTGGTTTCTAATGGTTTCCGAGGAGTTTTACTGGAATGAAAGAGCACAGAGTACAGAAGCAACAAAGCAGCATACTGCATTAAACCTGACCTTCACAGGTTGAAGTTCATGTGGAGAGGAGGTTTCAGTAGTCTGTCTGCACTCTGTTTAGTTGTGCTATCTTATAATCAATATAGTAAATGTGAGGTAAAGTGTGTCGCCAATGTAACCGGTTAGAACTCGAAGTTGCGATGAGGTCTTAAAAAAGGTCTTAAAAGGTATTACATTTGACTTCAGGATTCCTGCATATACCCTGTCTTAACATCCCGATAGCAATGAATATAGACTTAAGTGCTTTGACAAAAAATCCATAAAAAACTTTCATCTGTGGAAGCACGACCAATCATTTTAGCCGGCCCGGCTAAAATAACTGGATGGCCTACCTGCCTGTCAGCCTTCCATCTGTGCACACACTTATCTCGTGCCCTCATTGGTCATGTGCGCGTTCGTGTGTTGGAGGAGGGGCTCTGTAAGGAAGTGGCAGATTTCTTCCGGCTGTGAAATAAATGGCTGTTCAAATCAATTCTAGCGATCTCGAGCTGGTTTCTCCAAAATTACCTACCCTACCTTTAATGTTTAAAAAGTTCTTTATTTTTCTCATACTGACTGATCTGCAGCACCTCTTTTCACCCTCTGTCTGAAACCAAGTTCAATGTGTTGGAGCGCTAGCCAATAGAAACGTGAGTGGTAAATAGTAATGTCATTATGTTACAGAAGTAAACAAACAAGTCCAATGGAGGCGTTTCAGATGAGGGGGGGATGTGTGGAAGAGAAACTCCCTCTGGAGGGAACTTTGGGATTTTAACCTTTGCAGACCATTTACATGCACAAAACCCTATAGAACACACTACAGGAAAGGAAAAACCCCCAACCCTAAATACGGCACCTTTAACAGCATGGTTCTTAGAGCATGGATATCTGGTACACCTTTTTGCCTATTCTTATTAGTCCGTTTTCTATAGGCAGTCTCTAATTTGCTTTTGACATTGACTTAAAAATATGCTTGACCTTAAATGGCTTAGAAAATGTACCCTCTCATCTTGAATGCAATTATCACCTCAGATAAGTGTATGATATGGCTTTATAAATATACGCCTAGCGCCTCTTGAAAGGTGTGATAACTCAACTCACGCTGGCTTTAAATGAACATAGCAGGGTTTTTAGCAATTACCGTCACTGTAATACAGTCTTCTTCTTTTTAATGACTCTATTCCTCCTCATATGTTCTCCCTCTTAAGTAAACCCCTGCATGCAGACTCTGATAATCCCGTGTTCTCTCTCTTATCCTCTTAGTGCTGGCCTGGCGTTCGTCTCAGTTCACGACTGTTTTTGGACCCACGCCCTCACAGTGGACACCATGAACAAGGTATGAATTTCATTTTTACTCTGAGCTGTTTAATCCTGTCTGATCATGCATTATCAGAGTTTATAATTCTCTTTTTTTCTGATTAATTGAAGCTTAAGGTGGCAAATGTGATTCAAGTCTCCTGGGTCTCTCTTGCTTTTACCTACAGACTTTCTTTTTGTAGCATCACTAGTGATTCTGCTAAGGTAGAGCTTTGTGAAGCCAGAAAAACTAAATGGGTCCTCAGTGACATTTACAGGCTGCTGGGTGCAGGAATCACCACCAGAGCCTGTTGTGCTGAATAAATGACCGTCTGCCCCTGCCTGCTGAAACTAGTTTGTCATGAGGCCCTGACGGAGACACAGCGTAGCATTAAATTGATCAAATTACCTTAAAGTCGCAGTCCTCTTTAGCCGTAGCTTTAGAGAACAGTCCCAGCTTTAGGTCTTCATCCAATCTCAGAGGAGTAACAACCAATGAAGCGATCCCCTCTCAGTACATTTATTCTCCCTCATATTCTCTCGATGTGTGACGCTTTCCTCATTACACAGGTAATTGAACACAGCAGCAGAGGAGGGGGATTCAATATCTTAGTCAACACCAAAGCCCATTCAGAAAGTCCTTATTTTAAAGGCCACTGATCTTTCCTTCATCCTTCATTCGCCCTCTTTCTGAACCACCCAGCAGGGTTCCTGCGTGACGTCATTGGGAGATTTGTTCACACATGTTCGAAGAAAATAAATCAGAACCACTGAGAGCTTGTGTTCTTTCTTTTGATAATCCTCTGTGGCAGATAAATAATACTCTAGTGACAGAAAATGTGTATCCATCCTTGCGTTTTATTATGCATTTCCCACTTGCTTTAAAGCTTTGATGGCAAAGCTGGTTTATCAATCATATCAAAAATGCCACAATTCAAACAGAAATCTCGACAAACATGAAAGATAGCGAGGACAAAATTGATGATGCGACTGTATCCTTCCTTTAAAGGGGACCTATCATGCAAAATGCACTTTTGTACGTCTTTTATACATGAATATGTGTCCCTGGTGTTCCAGGGAACTCACCAAGTGTCAGAAAACACAACCCTCTCTATTTTCCTCTATACCCAAATCTCTTAAAAAGGGGCTGCAACGGATCTGATACAGACTGATCCAGATTCGAACACTTCTGTGATGTCACAGAAGTGGCGCTACGGCTATTGGGCCAACTCCACCAATCAGGAGGAGACAGCCACGGACATTGCCGTTCGAAAGCGCTGGAGACGCTGTAGTACATATGCCAGGCCTGTAGATGGTGCTGTTCTCACAGAATCAGCCCATGCAAAGACAGTGTTAAATTGAGCGAAATGAGGAATGGCTAAAATGCATAATCTGTTTGGTATTTTGAAACATAAAAAGTATAAATATGCCTTATATAGGTAAGGTCCTACACTATATTATTCAAATATAGCATGATAGGTCCACTTTAAATAAATACATGAACCCAAATGGCATATTTCCATCATTAAACTTATTATATATTTGGTGATGAACAGCAGGAAGTTCAAACTGTATGTGCTAACATGTTTGTATGCTTACATTTCTTGTGTTCGGGTCTGTTCAATGTGTAAAGTTAGCTAGCCAGCGCCACCAGACATGCAGAATACCAATCCAGAATTGTTCCTCACTTATAAATACTCAAAATGTCTTTCTCATTGTAGCAACATGTTTTCTAACACCTGCTGAGGGATGATTTTGAGATCCTGCAACCAGCACAGAAATTATAGCTCTTCTTTTTCCCATGCGTGCACTGTCAGCGATATCATTCAAATCAACACGTTACCCGGCATTTAACATTCTACGTTTTTTTCTTCGCAGAGCATAGTTCTCTGTGTGCACATACTTTAATACAGAATGTCAGAGATACACACAGGCAAGGCCGAGTGGTTTGAGCTTGTCGATTCAGTTTTTGGGGCACGAATAACTAAAAAACGCTTGTCTCTGTGACTTCCTCTTCCCGTTAGATCTGTCGGGAACAGTTTGTCGCCCTGCACAGCCAGCCAATCCTGCAGGAGCTGTCCAACTACCTGGTCCAGAAATACTGCACTGGGATCTCGTGAGTTTACACACCAGGAACACTTTTGATTGTGCCCTCTCACACTCACACTCACACACACACGCAGTTCCTCTAAGTCTCAGGAGCCGGTATGTGGCCGGTTATCCATCAGGGTAATGGTGTTAAAAATCTGGGTTTTTCGCTGCAGCTCCAATTTAGGAACAAATTATTATCAGAGTATCTTCGTTTTAGCTTAATATAATTTAATATTTACATGTTTCTTTTAATACTTAGTTACCAACAACTGCATTCTGTGCTTCATCTGATTTATTTTGTTTGTACACAACAACCTTCAGAGCCTTCAGACTCTCTGTCTGTGTTTATGCAACACTGTAGGATCTCTATGGACTTGTATGGTATATCAACGGCCACGATACACTGAACATGCACGTCCCACATGTACATACGTTAGAAAAACATTCCACTCTAAAGGAACACACACATAAGAGGTTATAGGATTAGATATAAGATTGTCAAAGTTGTACTAACTAACATGCCAGATTTTTTCCTCCACTTGTCTGTGACATTAGATACAAAATTACTTTCCCTCTCTCTCTTTCTCCATTCATCTGTGGCCTCGGGCTAGGTTATGCTCATCATCTGATTCTGTGTTTCTCTCTCCTGGATAATTGGACACCTTTTTCTATAGCCTTTACTCCACAGCAGCTCCCTTACTATTTGTCTTACTCCCTCCCTCTACCTCTCATAAGTTTTACTGAACTAGCAGTCGGAAAAGTTTCATTTAGTTTTATCCTCCTGCAGGCAGAACAGTGAGTGGTTAAATTTTTAAATAGCCATTTGTCAGTGTCCTAATCACGTTTCACACAGTAACAGGTATGTTTTGCCACCTTTGGAAGAACTGATAATGTGCCAAAGTCATAGACTCACTGTACTGACTCTGGTCTCAAAAACAACTCACATCTTATATCCTGTGAAGGTTGAATATAATCAGCCCGAGAACCGATGAAGACATTTAAATGACGACTAAAACTTCCAGAGAAAACCCAGAAAGTGCATGACTCTTTGACTTTGAACACAAACTTTGTCTTTCTCAGAGTTACTGAACTTTTTTCCTCTTTTGTGGCAGGCTTGAAGCCAAGAAGAAGAAGACCCAGGAATACTTGGAGCTGAGACTGTGTCTGGCCACAGTGCCCCAGACAGGTGTGTGTGTGTGTGTGTGTGTGTGTGGTGTGTGTGTGTGTGTGTGTGTGTGTGTGTGTGTGTGTGTGTGTGTGTGTGTGTGTGTGGTGTGTGTGTGTGTGTGTGTGTGTGTGTGTGTGTGTGTGTGTGTGTGTGTGTGTGTGTGTGTGTGTGTGTGTGTGTGTGTGTGTGTGTGTGTGTTGTGTGTGTGTTGTGTGTGTGTGTGTGTGTGTGTGTTGTGTGTGTGTGTGTGTGTGTGTGTTGTGTGTGTGTGTGTGTGTGTGTGTGTGTGTGTGTGTGTGTGTGTGTGTGTGTGTGTTGCACTGTTGTTTCAGGGGACCAAGATTAGGGATGGGTATCGTTTGAAATTTATCGATTTCGATTCCGGTTCTGCTTATCGATTCCGGTTCTTATCGATTCCCCGTTTCGATTCCAAAATTGTAAAATAAAGAGGTCAAACGTTTAGATAACAAAAATATATTTATTCTTAAAAGCTTTAACTGAAATTGTTACTAAAAAATATACATGCAATACAAATGTATTGCACAATAGCTGTGCTTTATTTTAAACTGAGCTATGCCTGTGGCAAGCTATTAACAGGCATTACACTTTGCCTTTTCTTTTTCTTTTTTAGTGTAGTGGAGCCTCACTTCAGAGTGTTTACCGCGACCTATCTTTGGTGTTATGAAGTGACTGAGCTCGTGAAATGTCTACGGGAGGGCGGGGGAGCATCGCTGCGGGGCAACTGTGGACCTCTGTCGCCTGTCAGCGCAATTTATATGATGCCGTTTAAAAAAATGAAGGGCGGTGCCGGCCGTCAGCGTACCGAGCCGGCCGTCAACGGCCCGCTGACGACCGGCCGTTCTGTGATTCTCCAGGTCCGCCCTGTATTCCACCGGGTCACCGCAGCACCGCGGTGCAGACGGACCCGCTGGAATACAGGGTCTACCGCGTTTAGGAACCGTTAAGCAGAACCGAAATTGTGTATTTTGTATGGGTACCCGGTACCCGGCATTTTCTTATCGGTTCTCATCTGGAACCGAGTTTCGGTTCCCAACCCTAACCAAGATACAGGGTGATGATTTATTTTCCTAATTGGATTGAAGAGGACTTGTATGTCCTGAAGCTCTGTCGGAGGTTAGCAGGAATAAGATAAGAGATTGGCTATTATATTGGATTTTAATACAATCGTCTATGTTTTATCTAGTTTGCTAATTGCTGTTCCCTATATTGTATAAAGTAATCCCATTGCATTTAGCTTCTTGTCTAGCCCAGCCTGCTCATTCAAACCGGAAAAGCCATTTATTGCGACTAAAATTGATTTAAAGCTTTTGTCGAGTGGAGGGCCACTGCGAGGGTCTCTCTATTGTTGTCCAGTGAAGGTACTGATGCTCTGATGGTCAGGTGGACGGTGGCTTTGCTGTTAAGTAAGCCCTCGCTCCGCATAATCAGCTTATGCGGCTGAGACCAGTCAGGTGTGCTCCTGAGGGGGGGGGGGTCGTCAGTGTGTGTGTGTGGCCCGGAAAGTCCACTGTACTCAATTTCTAATATAAAACTAGGCAGATCTGCATTTAAGTCCACTATAATCTTCACTATGAAGCATCCTCAACTTGTTATTGAGGTGAATCAGGTTTCAGTGTGTAATCCAGCAGGACAGCCGATGAATCAGGAAGACCTGTACACACAGAGGGGGAAATGCTGCAAAACACACCGATGACTTACATTACTGTGTTCAACAGTTTGGGTCTGGCTTTTATGAGGATTTCGGTTTATTTGATTAGTAAATGTTGGCTGCAAGTTTGTAAGAACAATACAAGTTGTTGTCAAGAAACACGTCTTTTATTTTTAGATGTTACTTTGGCATACAATCATGTCTGTGTTTAATTGAATAAAGTACTTTCTTACACGCTAAATTCAGAGCAATACGTGATCAAAAGTGCAAATATACTGCATGGAGTAGATTGAAGTTAGAGTTCTTTGCTGGGAGATCTTTCTGATTTTAATGAGAAAAAAGACAGTTTATATCAGTTCCTCCCTCATTCATCTCAACATCATTTGCTACCAGTTTTAGCATTCCTTAACTTTTTATGTCCTTTCCTCAATAATTCAGGCTGAAGCTTCTGCTGGTGTAGGGCGCTGACAGAGAAGCTAAAAGCACACAGAGTGCAGACCAGGGCAAATATTAAAATTCAAGTAGTATATTAAGTTTTTGGAATTTTCCTGGTGCTTAGGAAACAAAAAAGTTCTATCTAAGCTCCTGAGTTTGACCCAATTAAAAAATAACTTATCCTATCCTAACTCTGCTTTGTGTTTTGTTCTATTTGGCACATCTTAGAATGCTTACACGCGAAATATAAGATAGTGAACATTGTAAACATTATGCCTCATAAACATCAACATGTTATCGTAGTCATTCTGAGCCTGTTAGCATGCTGACGTTAGCATTTAGCTTAAAAAAACGTTGCTTCTGAGTCTAGACTTACTCTAGATTTGTAGTAATACTGCCAATTAATTAATTTGATGAATTGTTATCCTAGTCTCAGTCCAACTGTTTGTTACAGTGTTTTAAACAATGCAATGCTGGCAAGTTTGCAGCAATTAGCTTTGTTAGCATACGTAGCTTGCTGAAGTGTTTTTAAGTTTTGTGTTTAATGCAAATGTACTTTTTTTCTAACTACTGTACAAAGACCTAAACCTGCTCTGACACCTCGCCTCTTGCTCTCCAGGTGACTTCGATCTGCAGAAGGTGAAAGAATCCACTTATTTCTTCAGCTGAGAGGCTCATGAGGGCGATCCAGCGGAGGGAGATGAGTGAAATCGACAGAGTGCTGCAGGGAGGCTGACGGCCCCCGGGTCTCACCGTCTTTGTCTCCCTCAGACATCGGGACATTGATCCTCGTCCACAGCTAGACGGGAGCTGCTGGAGGCGTTAACACACAGTGAACCTGCCTGATTAACTGACTAGTGGACTGATGGAGTGATGGATGAGAAGGAGGCATACTCATCCAGCCAAAATGATGAGAGAATCAGCACCAGATGGGAATGTAAAGACCTCATTGAGTGAAATTACCTTTTTATTATGGATGCTAATACCATATTCAGGTAAATGTGTGTGCGTGTGTGTACATGAGCCATACTGATCTCATCTCTATGCAACTATTATGCTGCTCTATTTACTTTACCTCCTATAAACTGTAATTGCCAGTGATGCAGTATGAGGCGTGTGTTTGTGTTTGTGTTTGTGTGTGTGATTATGTGTGTATGTGTCCTGCTGTGAGGACCTCCGCAGAGCGTGGACTTGCCTCTGGTCTATCCCACCTCATCATCGATCCCATCACTTACTGGATGGCAGGATGCTCTCTGACACGATATTTAGGCGGTTTTATAAAGTTTGAAGAAGAGGCATCTGAAAAGGAAATGAAAGACCAACTGAACCGGGGGATACCAGACCCTCTGAGAAATCTGGAGAGATAAGTCAAAAGGTTCTTGGATAGCATTGTGTCACATGGAACTCTTGATTCTTCCCTAATAGGAGTGACTAAGCACCTGACAATTGCTCTAAAATAAACAACTTTCTTAAAATGTCTACTTATTAATTCAGCGGTTTCGAAGAAATGGCTGGTATTCTTACTGTGCTTAAATAGGATGAATGAGAGCCTGATTTTTTTAGTTATATGCATATTTCAGGTCTTTTGTGTATCGTGAGATGAAGGCCTCCTTTTAGATGCACCACAAAGGGTTTGCAGGTTTCACTAATCAACTCAGATCTTATTTTTCTGTGCCAGTGCCACATCTAGCAGTACAAATAGCAGAAGTGCTATCTGATGATTGCTGGGAACCATACAGCAGTTTCAGACAAAAGGTGCCGTTGATGTTCAAAGGCAAATGTAGATTGTATCCAAACAAAGCTGGCTGAGTGACAATGTAATGAAATGGAAATAATCTTCAAGGGGGCATAAATAGTGCACTGATCAGACTGTAGATTGTTGGGATGATTTGCATAGTGACATGCACAAAGAGATGCTGCTCAGATTTTTTGGAAATGAGTTGCTACTTTAATCTGTTATTTTATCATCTTGGTAAAAATCTTGATTTTTTTTTGACTTGATTTTACACTGAAATACTCTTTTAAATATGATTCATGCTCAATGTGCTTTCTGTCAGGACGGCCATTAGTATTGCCATATTATAGGTACAATCACGTTTAATACATTACATTTTTTAATTGAAAGGTTTGTGTGTTTTTAACCTGATTAGATTTAAATTATACAAACAGGGTTCCTTTCATGTTCAGACATTTCAAATGAAAGCGGACCTTTATTGGCACCAGAAAGTAAATAGTTCACCGTGGTAAAGTAAGTTTAAGGTTGATTGTTTGACCGACATTCTCTCCGGTCTTCTTTATGTCGCAGTCAGAGGACGGTTATTGATCTTTCTATAACATGATTTTCGGGTTATGGAAATGTAGAAGTTTTTTTTATTTGACATACTGTATCTGATTTGTTTTGAATAGCTTCCATGTCTTGTAAACTAATAACTTCAAATACATGCAGAATTGTATTACTACACTGGATAAGAAGAACACATCTCTTTTAATAGGATGTTAATGAATGTATTATTTAAAATTATTGTTTTTTATTTAATATAATAATAACAAATAAAAACTGTCTGTGACTGGTGTCTGTCATAACAATGTTCAATGTATTGGGGTCAATGGGTCACATGACATGGAAGGTATTGAAACATCTAAAATAATTTTCTATTAAAAATGTTTTTGTTTAGAAAGTATTTCACATAAGACACATTTACCCTCACCGCGGTTAGTATCAGAAAGTGTAGGAAATGCTCGTCTTTCTTGATGAGAAATTTCAGTCATGAAATAACCCTAAAACCCTAAATATGAAGCTGGGGCTTAGCATGTAATGTGGCGTTTCAAAATGAAGTTTACATCACAAACACTACATTTCCATTTTTATTGAGTTTTACTTTTCCAAACTCAGCTGCTGAAGCCACTCAGTGTCCTTCACACTGAAGCATCCACTATCAAACTAAGCCAAGGTGTCCTTCGTGGCGGCGTCGCAGCGTGTCTCCTCTCCTCTGTGAGGTCAGGTGTCAAGGACAGAGCTTTAAAGATCTCAGGATCTCACTTCACACACACTGAGCACAGTTCACAGCTTAGCCCTGACACCGGGCTGAGAGGAGAAATGTAGGCCAATATCACTTTTTAATGTCGTACTGTAAAATGACTTTTTTATGACTGATTATACAATATTGTTTATTATTTAGGGTATACCAATTACGACATTTATTTTATGTTATAACACACTGACTTTTCTATGACAAATTATGCATTTTTCATAATCATAAAAAAGAATTCAATGTTTTTTTTATCCATCCATCTTCTCCCGCTTATCCGTGGTCGGGTCGCGTGGGTAGCAGTTCCAGCAGAGAGCCCCAAACTTTCTTTTCCCTGGCCCTGCTGAGAAAACCCATCTCGGCCGCTTGTATCCGCGATCTCGTTCTTTCGGTCATGACCCATCCTTCATGACCATAGGTGAGGGTAGGAATGAAAATGGCCCGGTAGACACAGAGCTTTGCCTTCTGGCTCAGCTCTCTTTTCGTCACAACAATGCGGTAAAGTGACTGCAGTACCGCTCCCGCTGCTCCGATTCTCCGGCCCATCTCACGCTCCATTGTTCCCTAACTCGAGAACAAGACCCCGAGATACTTGAACTCCTTCACTTGGGGTAAGGACTCATTCCCTACTTGGAGTGGACAGTCCATCGGTTTCTTGCTGAGAACCATGGCCTCAGATTTGGAGGTGCTGATCCTCATCCCAGCCGCTTCACACTCTGTTGCGAACCGATCCAGTGAGTGCTGAAGGTCGCAGACCGATGAAGCCATTAGAACCACATCATCTGCAAAAAGCAGTGGTGCAATCCTTAGTCCACCGAACTTACAAACAGGATTGGTGACAAAGCGCAGCCCTGGCGGAGGCCAACCCTCACCGGAAATGGGTCCGACTTACTGCCGAGGACCCGGACACAGCTCTCGCTTTTGGAGTACAGAGATTGGATGGCCCTGAGTAGAGACCCCCTCACCCCATACTCCCGCAGCACCTCCCACAGTAACTCCCTGGGAACTCGGTCATACGCCTTCTCCAAGTCTACAAAACACATGTAGACCGGATAAGCGTACTCCCAGGCCCCCCTCCAGGATCCTTGCGAGAGTAAAAAGCTGATCCGTCATTCCACATCCAGGACGGAATCCGCATTGTTCCTCAATCTGAGGTTTGACAATCGGCCTGACCCTCCTTTCGAGTACCTTAGAGTAAACTCTCCCGGGGAGGCTGAGTAGTGTGATGCCTCTGTAATTGGCACACACCCTCTGATCCCCCTTTTTGAAAAGGGGAACCACCACCCCGGTCTGCCACTCCTTCGGTACTGTTTCCGACTTCCACGCAACGTTGATGAGATGTGTCAACCATGACAGTCTCTCAACACCCAGAGCCTTCAGCATTTCCGGGCGGATCTCATCCACCCCCGGGGCTTTGCCACTGTGGAGTTGTTTGACGACCTCAGTGACCTCCCCCCGGGAGATTGGTGTTGATCCCCGTCATACTCCAGCTCTGCCTCTAACATAGAAGGCGGAGTTGTCGAGTTCAGGAGTTCCTCAAAGTGTTCCTTCCAACGCCCTAACACTCCATCAGTTGAGGTCAACAACGTCCCATCCTTACTGTACACAGCTTGGATGGTTCCCCGCTTCCCCCTCCTGAGGTGTCGGACAGTTTTCCAGAACAACTTTGGTGCCGCCCGAAAGTCCTTTTCCATGTCTTCTCCGAACTTCTCCCACACCCGCTGCTGTGCCTCGGCCACAGCTGAGGCTGGTGCCCTTCGGGCCTATCGGTACCTTGCAACTGCCTCTGGAGTCCCCCGGGATAACAAATCCCTGAAGGCCTCCTTCTTCAGTCGGACGGCTTCCCTGACCACCGGTGTCCACCAGGAGGTTCGAGGGTTACCGCCCCTTGAGGCACCTAAGACCTTGAGACCACAGCTCCCCGCTGCGGCTTCGGCAATAGAGGCTTTGAACACCGACCACTCTGGTTCAATGTCCCCAACCTCCACAGGAATGCCCGAAAAGCTCAGCCGGAGGTGTGAGTTGAAGGCCTCCTGAACTTGGGCCTCCTCCAGACGTTCCCAGTTCACCCGAACTACACGTTTGGGCTTACCAGGTCTAGCCAGAGGCTTCCCCCACCACTCGACCCAACTCACCACCAGATGGTGATCAGTTGACAACTCCGCCCCTCTCTTTACCCGAGTGTCCAAAACATACGGCCTCAGGTCCGATGATACGATAACGAAATCGATCATGGACCTTCTGCCTAGGGTGCTCTGGTACCACGTACACTTATGAGCATCCTTATGTTTGAACATGGTGTTTGTTATGGCCAATCCATGACTAGCACAGAAGTCCAGTAACAAACCACCACTCCAGTTCAGATCAGGGGGGCCGTTCTTCCCAATCACGCCCCTCCAAGTGTCTCCATCATTGCCCACATGTGCGTTGAAGTCTCCCAGCAAGATTAAAGAGTCCCCTTCAGGAGCCCCATACAGGACTCTTTCCAGGGTCTCCAAGAAGGCCGTATACTCTGAACTGCTGTTTGGTGCATAGTTTTTTATGACATACTATAATATGACCTTTTTAGGATTTTTATACGGTGACTTTTTTTGACAAATTATTCCTTCCTTCTTTTTTTTCCTAAAATACTATACTATGATATTTTTATGAATCGTCACAGTTACTTTTTAGGATAAATTATCTCAAACTACAATGTTTTCTTTGTATGACCAATTATAAAATGCCTTTTTTTTTTACATATTATACTTTCAATTTGTCATGACATCTTTGTATAACATGACTATACTATTCTTCTTTAAATGGCATACTACATTAGACTTTTTCGACATACTACACTATGACCATTTATGAATTTATACGACGTACCTTTGACAACATGATATGACGACATGCTATGCTATGACATTCCTAAAGCTTGTTTAAAGACATACTTTACTATGACTTGTTTGTGACTTATACTGTAGGCTTCAACCCATCATGACCTCCATATCAAGGAGGGGTCATGGATGAATGGATTCTGAAGACATTAGTGTCTCGATCAATAGCTGCGACTCGCGCCACAGGGACGGTTATAGGAGCTTTAAAACGCTGGCAGTACTTCAGTTAATAAGGAAGAACACATGGAGGGTAAGTACGGAGGATCAGGTCAGGGAACATACATGTTGAGATGACGGGAGCAGAAACTACCATTTTCTTTGGCTGAGGAAGTAAACAGGATATCAGTGGTGCTCATACAGCAAATTGTTGATGGGCCTGTATCATTTACTCTGGGGTTATTCCAAGGATGTCTGCTGTCAGATGGGAGAGCTGCACCGAGCCGACCCGCAGTATCCCTAATGGAGCACGGCTGGTAGCAGGAAGTAGTCAAAAAGCCTCCATTACTGCTCCTCTCCAGAGAGATGTCCTGTTGATGATGTTTCTGTATCAGGGAAATATCTAGTGCA